TGTTCTTGTTATATAGCATTATTGTTTCTAGTAGTGCTGTGTCCATGCTATTTAAATAGTGTAACACTAAGTGCATTGTTACCTGTTTCTATTTGAAAGATTTTGATTAAATAATTGTTTCCAATTAGCAGTTTTTATGTGGCCTATTATTGCAAATACTAGATAACCTAAAAAACAAATGTGAAATTTGAAACCATTTGTTCAAAAATGTTTTAAATTGTCTTATTAATACTTGCATAGTTAGCAAAGTTGTGTAAAATGCATAAGTCCTGTAAAGACCTTTCATTAAGTGATAAGGGTATTGCAGTTATCCTCAAAAACAAGCATTTTGTGCTTTTTGATTATAATCTTCAATCCTTTTTTTATGTACAAATCATTAAATACATTTATGCCATTTGAAATTGCTTTTCATGTTTTTGTGGATATAAGACTGCTATGACACAGATTTCCTTGAAAACTGTTAATTTTTCCTATATTCTAATTATATTTGATTTTCACTGTGAGGAAAAATACGAGCATTAGACAAATGAAGCAGAGGAAGTTTTTTACTAAGTAATAATTTTTCTCTAATCTCCAGTGTCTAACTTGTTCTGCATTAATTCAATCATGTCTATATGGAAGAGAATGCTTTTTCTTCCTAATGTGTATGAAATATTCCAGTTGTTCTGTCTTTCAATTTAATAACCCTTTCACACTTCTTATGCTGACCTTGATTTCCATTCACATTTCTAAAGACCGTTTCGTCTTAAAAATAATGTAATTGAGTGGGAATGCATAATCAGTGATGCATCAAATCTCTGTGAAACAATGTCACATTTAGAAAATACTGTCTAATTTTGCACTAGGTTGAATTTCAGTAAACACACTTCCTAACACTCTTACATCTTAAAAAAGAAATATTGCAGCAGTACTTACAAGGAAATTAAATATGCTGTATGTTCTTCTGCTGAAGATAGCTAGAGGAAAAATGTGTCCTTTCTATCATTTGGAGCCTCAATTCACTCAGCTTCGAGGTGTCAATTGATAGAGTGTCTGTCTGTATTAATATTCCAATCAGAAATCGGTATTATTCAGTACTGGTATAGTGTAGTAAAATATCCTGTGTGTGCGTGTGTTGCTCCTCAGTCATGGATACTGCTCAGTTGTTAACACTCTCTGGCAGATACTGACCTGACCCCATTGTAATTCTTCTACAGTGCCTGGACACGATTCAGGGAGAATCAGAGTGAGTAGGTAGGATGGATTCTCCTTCAGAGGAGAAGGATGTAACCCATGATGTACCACTGTCTTCTGCAAAGAAGGAAACAAAAAAAAAAAGAGGGGACAGTCTCAAAGTGCTCCAGGGAAGGTTCAGATTAAATATTAAGAAAAATTACTTTACTGAAACAATTATGAAGCACTGGAACAGGCTTCTCAGGGAAGTGGTTGAGTCCTCATCTCTGGAGGTATTTAAACATACGTAGCTGTGGGACTTGGCCATGCTGATAGTTAGGCTTGATGATCTTAAAGGTCTTTTCCAACCTTAACAATTCTGTGATTCATTTGCTCTTGAGCTCTTAAAATTGAGGAGATCCTTGTCCCTTTTGATTTACAAAAGGAATCTGGAGTTCTGCCTTCCACATTATCCCTTCTGTATACATGTTGTTTTTCCTAGCTCCCTCAGTGTTGGTGAAGTATCTGGGTTTGCTCTTCGTAGCCAAATGGTCCCAGTGAAGAGACCACTTAGAACAAACTGTGCTTTCATCTTCTGCCATATTGTCTACCTCAGGCTCACATCAAGTGCTTTCATTCTAATTGTGGATTTCTATGGGTTATTTTTAAAAAGTAGTGGTCTGTTTGTTTTTTACCTAAGTGAAAAGAAGGTTGATGTCTCTCACTTGATCCTGGTGCTTTTGTAATACATACATAAAACCCTCGCCTTTTGAAATTATACTTTGTGATGAAATACTATTGCATTTTGCTTATATATTTTTATTTACCTCGACTCCTCTTTGCTACCCCATAGCTTCAACCTTTAGTCCATGTCGTTAGTCACAATCATCATCTCATCAAGAAACAGAGAAGACATAAGTGACATTTTGTTAGGTACATAGGAGGTATGGAAGTATAGAAAATCTTATGTTATACAAATTGGTGAGTAAACTCCTGAATGAACTGTCACAATATATATGTTTTCCTATGAAAAGGGTAGGAAAAAATGTCTGAGTTACAAGAGATTGTTAAATAAATTATCTGGAGGAAAAGGCAGTCTGCTGTATTAATATTTCAGATTTTGCAGTTGAAGTCTTTACATTGATCTGTGCTTAGAGGCCTGTCCTTATTTTGTAGCAGATAATGTTATGTCAAAGCAATGTTTAGTTCTACATAGCCAGCTGTTGTATTCATTCTAAATTATGCCAGACTTAATCTTGAATATATTCAACTAGAGCACCAAGTTGTGCTGACAAACCAAAAATAATTTTCAGTAATGTTCTATTGCAAACCCTTTGGGCACATTGGCTCTCTGAGGTTGAATTCCCATTTTATATCCAAACATCCCAGCAGTAGATTCAATTGGTATCCTACTGGAACTTTGCAGTAGCAGAAGTAGACAATATGAGACAATTTCTCAAGAGTATTACTTTCCCAATCGTTTTAATTCCCCCTGCCTGATTCACCAGTGCTCGTGTATTCATTTGTACTTGCTCAAAGCAAATGTAATTTAACTTTACAATAGTCTCAAATCACTGCAATACTCATTTTACATGTCGACAGAACAAGACAATAAAGTGGATAATCAGGTTTTCAGGGTTTTGTAAGGAAAACTAAAATGTTGTGTGGGGAAGAAACAACTGAAGTCGAGGTTCACTTGTGCAATACTTCAAAGAGTATCCTGTAAATCCCAGGTCATTGGGATTTTCATCCAGGGAGGGCACCTTGATAATTGCAGTGATACTGTAATGAGGAGATGACATAAAGATCAGGACAACAGTGGGTGAGAACCTAGTTTAACTGGAGCAGACAGCTGTAGTTGGTGGAAAAAAGTCAACTTTTCTGGAGAGCACTTCACTGCAGGAAGTGGGCTGGAGTGTTCTCAAGCACTCTCGACAACAGCTCTACTCCTTCCCCATGCTCACTGCAGGAGGAACTGTGTAGTAAACTGTGTGTGCCAAAATGGGATGGAGAAAACACTTCTCACCTTTCTCAGCTCAGGCCCCAGCAATTTAGGGTGCTCATTTAAAATGTAGGAAATTTCAGTTTATTTTTCTAGGAATGTTGTTCATGCATTCCTGGTATATGTCTGAACCCCTTTCTGACTATTTTCTAAGTAGGCATGTCACTGTGACTGCTTGTGCAGTTCCAGTTTGTATAAATAATTATGCAAAAGCCAGAACTATGGTATCCTCTCTTCTGATGTGTTTTGTAAATTTTCTAATCTGCCATGAAAAATAGTTAGTTGTTACATTACGGTATGCAGAACTAGAGATGTTTGGAATGTCAATAAGCAACTTGCCCTCTCCCATAATACCCCAATCGGCAGTTCCCAACATCCAAGAATACATGTCTGGAACTTTAATCTACTGGAATATTCTTATTTTGAAAGAGAAATTTGTTTTACAGATAGTGACAGTAAGAATCAGGGAGTTTGATGTCCTAGGTTAGGATGAGAAGTAGAGCTCCACACCTCAGTTTTGTTTTCTAATTCTAGTCTCTGCTCAGAGGACTGTACAATGAGAAAGATAATTTACAGCAGCAATTAAGAGGTATAATTTCTTCTGTAATGTGAAAATTGAGGGAAATTCTTCCCATAGACTGGTTTAAGTAACTTCAGGGAGCACAAATAACTTTTAATTTAACATTTGTAAAGCAGCTGCTTCTTTGCAACTTTAACTCCTTGTGGACTGGATAAAATTGTGATTCATATCTGTAGCCAGAGCTGAGCAAGTCTTCTCTTCAAGGTGAATTAATGCTGATCACTGTGAACTTTCTGATCCATCTGGCATCTGGGAAGTACTTTCTCAGTGGATGTCCATTTACTGAGAATTCATTGTGTAAGCACCGTTTGGATTTCTAGGGCTGCATGGCTCTTTGTAGGTCACTGGTGATGCTGATGGAGCTTGCAGGCAGCTAGTTTTCAACCTCCAACATTCTTCCCAGCAAGAGCTTGGTCTTGAATACAGAAAATAAGGAGGAAGCCAGAATCATTCTGCGTGGCTAATGTGATCTCTCATGCTTGGCTGAGAGGGGAAATCTAGCACAGTTCAAGGAAGAAATTTCCCTTAAGTTTTATTTCTGACATTTCATCACATAGGAAAGGAGGAGAAGAATGTTTGAAAATATGCTGACAGTTAATTAGATTTTTGTTTCAGGCTAGAAATGACAAAGTATTTTGATGTTAACTATTTTGAGAGGAATCAGATATCCAGAAATAGGAGCCTAGGTACAGTACACATTATAGCACCTCAGCACCTTCATGAAGTCTTGTGTTTTCAGTCTACAGCTGTCTTATTAGAAAGAATTCCATAGTGGGGAGAAGCTGGGATACCTAAGTCAAAGCTGCAGAAAGATTCCACAGTTTACTTAGCAAATTCATGGCTTGACATGTTTTCATTGGAGTAGATGCCTAAAGTGCCTCTTTCCAAGAATGATGCTTGAATGAGAGACTAGGTGGGCATTCAGAGCTTTAATCCACTAAATCTACTTCAAAGGACTATTATCTTTAGTACATACTCTTTTTTAACTAGATGGACTGACTGATGCTTTATCCTTCTGAGGCAGGCATTTGTATTTCCATTAAATAAGATTACAGGAGTTCTTCACTAGCTTCTTTAGGAAAGTGTTATGATCTAGGTGATCTAAGAACTTGCGAATTTCTTGGATTTCAGTGGAACACATGGTGTAAGTCTTATCCTTAGGTATAGTATTTAGACTGGTTGTATTTTGTAATATTATTAAGATGCATGTGATCATTTAACTCTCCGTTGTATTTGCATATCATTCTTTTGTTTTTTACTTACCAGGTTTCTTGTCTATACTTACGTAACTGCTGCAAGCTGCCTAGTCTTAAGAAGTTGAACTCCATTCTTCAAGTGTGATTTATTCAGTACAGTATAAAATCATGATGAAAACGATAAGCATACCTACAAGCAAAACTTCCCTGGTCCTCTTTCTGTGCCAAATTATTTCTGCACTGGATGTACCTCTTGACTGTAAGTATTAACCTGATAAATAAGTGCAGAATAATGGAAGATTAGTTAAATAATTTCTGTAAGAATCTGAAGATAACTCCAACATGGAGCTAAAAATAGAATGTGTTTGGTAACTTGAATCAGTACATTATAATTATGAATATTTACACTTAGTTACTGAAGATTTTCAAAGTCTGTGTGTATAAAATGAGTTACATTGTTCAGTTGAGGAGGTTTACCACAGGATTCTCACAGAATTCTACTTACACTTCAGTGTGCCTTTTTTTGATCAGAATGAAGAAGAACAGAAAAGCTCTGCTAAATGCTAATTATTTTTGAAATTAAGATCATATTGATAATTTTCTAAAAATCCCAGGACAGTTCCTAGTTGCTGTAAAAAATCACCCTTACCTTCAGGGAAGAAGTTCCCAGGAGCTGATATGCGAGCTAGTAAAAAATTCAAATACCTAAAATTCAGACACTCAAAGCATCCTATTTTTTTGATACAAAAGGGTAAGTTAGGCTCTTAGATTTCTTAAGTAGTGCCTGAAAACAATTAAGAATTTTTACTTAAAAACATGTTAAAAATGTGCTGACTTGGAACTCCAGCTCACATTAACATATGAGGGAAGAGCTGAAGGAGGAGAAATCCCAAGATCTGAAGTTCTTGTCTAGTATAAGACTCTGTTAGTGGGGAACCTTGAAGTACTCCATGCTGAAAAGAAATGGTAGCTGTTGCATTTTATATTCCCAATGGCTAATTTTATTAAATTAGTCATGTTTCAGGTTGCTGTTTTCTTTCTAAGATAAACATGATCACATTTTCAGAATTCAGTGAACTATGTTGCACTTCTATTCATTTGTTAAACTAATTACCAGGGAAGAGAACATTAGGGCTAGCATTTAACTGATGGATTAACACATCAGTAAATTTGCCTGTGATTCTAATCTGCATGGTTTTCTTTACCCCTGTGGTTTTGATACCTTCCTGCCTTCCAGAAATGCATGTTTTTCTTTAATAATCATTGACATACATTGCAAGTGCTTTGGTGGCTTTTTTCCCCATGCATTTTATAAGCCTATCAAACCAATGACCTGTATTTCTGTAAAAAATCAATATATATGAATCATGTCCAACTTCTTGTGCTGTAAAGGCCTTTAGAGCAATAAGCTGTGGGTTAAACAATGCTTTGAAAGTTTGATGAATAAATGAATTTGTTACTTTCAAAACTCAATTTTTCTCTTAGAAACATCCTTGCAGGCTATAAATAGTGTATTAAACCTTGTAGTTTAGCAACTAATAAAAATTCTGCACCTCTCTAATATAATTATCTTAAAGGAAAGATTTTGGGTTAAATTTACCAGAAATGCATCAATAGACAAAAATGAACATCCCTTTTGGATGTTTCATTTTAATTCTGTACTGAGAATTTAATTCCCTTTTACTTCATGCTTAATAACTTTGTGAGATCTGATAAAGTCACATACTTGAATTTTTAGCCAGAAATTACATCTAGAATGATGGTATTACTTTCATATATAATGATGAGAATGGGCTCTGGGAGAGCACCACAAGGGAAGGACTTAGATTTTTTTGTGGCTCTTCCCTGAATATCCACCATAGAGACCTGGTGGTCAGAACATACGTGATTAGTTGAATATTTAGGTTTCATCCAGGTTAGAAATTCCTATTCATAGCAAGTTCATTAGTTCCTTGTCAAGGAATGACTGAAAATGCAGGGGACTCAAGGACATTTGGCCTGTTGATAAAGAGAAGTGTTTTTGCAAAGCATTGGAAGTAAGCAATAAAGATCTGACAGCTAAGGTGAATTTTTTTATTTAGTTATTTTTTAAACCAAAAATGGTTGCAAGTCTGTTGAGTAGAATTGGGTGCTTTTTTCTTTACAGGAATAATTTTAGCCTGAAGCATTCTCTTTGTTCTTCCATGTGATCATATGGGTGGATTGATTTTGACTGCAGCATGAGGGTAGTGCACTCCATTAATTCTGATTTGCTGCTGTCTCCTCAGTATTAGTGTTTTATGTCCTTGCAAGGCCAAAATCACATAGCGTGGTTGCTGTTAAAAAGTTAACACTTCAGGAAAGTTTCTCATCCCAAGAGCTTTAAGATAAATGTAGTAATATCTGACACTAGGAAATTTTGGCTGGAATTTCAGGCATTGCTGCATGGGTTGCAGTGCTGAATGTTTTAAATATTTTTCTTTTTAATGGTGACCAATGTACTCGTCAGAGATACTTATCTTCCCTCTCAAAATTGCTAGTTTTCTCTTCACTAACAAATATTTCTCTTTAATCTCTATTTGTCCATTCAACTGCTGATTCTGATGTGGGAATAAAAGCAAAACTTCTAGAAGAATGTAAGTTACTCTTCACTAAAAATTGGCTGTGTGCTGCTGAAAATTAATACAGATTGTGTTGCAAATTGAATTTGCAGTCCAAAAATGTGTGATTCTGACATTTTGTTGATAATTTGGTTTGCAGTATCTAGATGTTTTGTGCATGCAGTGTTCAGAAAATACTACTGTACATAAAACAACATTCTGATATTCTGAATAAATTAATTGTGTGATTTTTGATGGTGTGCTATTTGAACATTAAAATATTCACTCAATATCAGTATGTGTAATGTTTTATTACTACTTTCAGGAGTAAATATATTTGATAAAAAATAAATTTATTGGAATTTATTTAATAAATTTATTGGAACTTTTTTACTATTTTACATATCTGATGTGGACATTTTTATATCCAAAGTAAATATAGCTATTTAAGTAGACGTCATATTTTATGGGTTCTAACTTAGCTTTAGTTTTATGGTTAATCAGTTTTAAGTGCAGTCCATAACACAGGAGTGAAGATTTCAGGACTTTGATGTTCATCAAACCTGTTGTTTGGGCAGTGTTTGTGTCATATTCTTTTTCAGAGTGTATTTGCTTTTCTCAAGTAAGCATCTGACATATACTGACCCTGAGAAATGCCTCTGAGAGGGAAAAGGACTGTCTTCAAGTACTCCTAAAGAAATACACACAAAGGCATCATGTAAAAATGTAGCCTTCCTCTTTCAAGGATTCTCCCCTGTGCAGTGAGGAGCAGAACCCAGTTCTCTGTGGCCTGTTCTGCTTAGCTGCTGTGTTTTGTTAGGATTCCATGATCTTATTTGTTTTCGGTGCTGTTTCTTGCAGGTAGGGTTTTGCAGACAGCTACCTCTGCCTGTGCAAAGGAGTGCTTAATGTATAATGGTATACTTAAGGAAGACTTAAATAAAAATCCCCATTGTACAATTTTAACTGTCTAGAGTGAGGCATGAGAACACAGGTAATGGTAATGATTGAATTATTTTGTTCCAATGGCTAGAAATTGCTCCAAAGCACTAGCAAAGGGTATTTTGGACAGGTGATTTACAGCACTTAGACAGGGATGCTCATGGGCTTGTTATTTGACAGGTTTATTTAGGTGACGCTAAGCTATAAACACATGAATAGTGTTGAGGAAGACACTTTTCCCACTATCTTAATAGCACAAACAGTATTTTTTTAATGCAAAAGTGGGCATAAATAAAGGCAAAAGGTTATAAATTGCAACAGGTAGACACCAACTACTTTGTCAGGTGAATCAATTTTGTTCTTTGCTACTTGTTTTATAGTACTTGACAAATCACAAATGTTAAATGATTGCTTCTCCTGGGACAATTCACAGGATTGAGTGTATTTTTAAACGGCTTCTTAAGGGGAATCAGTGCTTTACTTTTCCTACATGTTTTCTTTATTTAGAAACAAGATACTCCTTTTGTCATTTTTAACAGAGTCTTTTGCTTATAATATATTTTTTACTCCTGAAAAGTAGTTCTTAAAAGCATACTTTGTAGATTAATGCAATATGTTAAGCATAATAAATGTGTGGAAAGGTTTCACCCACAGAGAATTTCAAAATACATAACATGTTTTGAAGCACAAAGCGATGAATATTTTTTCCTTCTGTGTGGTAAAAAAATAGTTTTGTGGAGGTTTATTCTTGCAGCTCTTCATTTCAGATTTGCTGGACTTAGAATTTGATTGTCCTTTGTTTTTGTGAAAATCTGTTGAAATCTGAGGTATAGAAATGATATTTTCATTAAACTTTTTGGCCAAGATCTTCATCTGCTGTAAATCAGGATAGCTCAGCTGGAAGTTAATATAGCTACACTGATTTACAGGGGTAGAGAGGTTCAGTCTCCTGATACAAAGGATACTTTAATCCTACTTTTCTGTCAATGATTTGGTTGCTAACTGCAATTTTTCTTTCTCTGCTTACACAAGTGTCTTGGTGATACTTTGAAAGTATTGTTGAAATCATTTCTCTTTGTTATATTCCATAATGAAGTGTCACAACCTCCTACGATAACTCAGCAATCTCCAAAAGATTACATTGTTGACCCTCGAGAGAATATTGTAATACAGTGTGAAGCCAAAGGAAAGCCACCTCCTAGGTTAGTAGCTTTTTTTTTTTTTTTTTTTGCTTCTACTGGCCTAAGAGCATGAAAGAACTAGGAAAACATACTGTAATTTTTGTAAACTAGCAAGATCGAGATTGTATGTATGAATGTGCTTGCACATGCAGAAACATGCACACATCCGTACCTCGGTAAATTACACAGCCACCAGATAGTGGCGCAATTTTGACTCTTATCACATTTGACATTTAAATGTTTCTGAAGTCATCAAGCAATTGTAGCACTTTTTTCTCTCAAAACTCTAACAATAAAATAATACTTGATTATTACCAGAGCAGATAGGCAGTTGTCCAAAGGACACACTAGGAGGCATGCTGTGCTATGAACTGGATGATGTGCCAGGTTTAGGCATAGTGTTTAAGAAGAATGGATATTGAATACAGTCAAACTAACACTAATACATTCAAACGTAAGGTTTTGTAAATACTTCCATTTTATGAGGCTGATCTTGAAATACAATTTGTCAAAAGTTATGTAGTCTGTATCAGTTTTATTGATCACCAGCTTTGTGTATTTAACAGCCTTAAGTTTTGGTTTTGGCAGAAATGGATCAGATTCCTCATCATTGTCCATTTTAAGATCCTCTTTCACCATCTTGAAATATTTGAAAACTGCTAATTTTGAGGTACTGAGTACCTGCACGGGAAACATCAGTACCCATGATCCCTTCTGGCATTGTTAGTAACTGCTGCTGACTGCAGAGACTCTGGACATAGAAATGTTCATCTCTCTGCACTAGCAGTGCTGTGGTACACCTTACTAGCAAGGTGTGTCTAAAACTGCTCATTCAGACACACACAGAGCTTGTTAGATGTACTTCTTCTGAATAACCAGGGTTTTTTCTGCATTACTCCTGGTGATTGCCTTGGCATCATGATCATTATTATGCTGGGCAGCAGAATGGAGAAGATGGAGATTATCTGGGATACTCTCACCCTTTCTAGTGTTCCATTAAGGACAGGAGTGCCACAGAGCTGCTTTGTTTAGTAGCATTTTAATTTTGCTGGCCTGATTCCACTTTGAAGAGTCAGGGTGTTTACCTTGAGGATCAGATGATTATTGTCCACTTTGGGGCAACTGTATTGGTTCTGCAGATGTTTATCTTGAACACTTATGGTTGGAATACCAAAGAGAAAAAGAATGCTGTCTGTGAGAATGACATTCCTGACCCATGTACCAGGGCTTTCTGCTGTACATCTTCATCTTCCCCATAAAACACGGATCTGGCTTTGGTCCCGTGCTACAGAAGTGACAGGATTTAAGTAAAGAATTTTCTAATGAGTTTTATAAGCTTGTGCTTAGTCTTGCTTAATTTTTATGATATGACATTGATTTAATTTGTATCAACAGTTAGTCTGGTTGGTCCATCACTCTTGATAACCTGCAAATGCATATTGGATCTTGAACTGCTCCAGAGCTCTGAAGTCAAAGGTGCACTTTCTCAGCCCACAGTGTGAATTGTGTGATATCAGTGTGATAACTTCTCATTGGCATAAAGGTTTATGGATGTGCTGCTACCTATAGCTAGAACAGCAAAGACTGTCTGTCACACATCTCAAATTTAGGGGTTTTTACCACATTTTCGACTTCTCATTTGAATCTACATTACACTTTCTTGCATCCTTGATATTATTGGTAACAGAAACCCCACAATCTTCACCTGTAAAGTTGTAAGAAAGAGGTTCACTGTTAGTTCACTATGCATACTAGTCCTCCCAAAAACATTTCATTATGATGCAGCACTGCTGCAGGTCCAATTCTTCTCTCTCCCAACACAAGGTGCAAATATCATGTCCAGTCCTGCCCAGCTACTGCAGAAAGTCAGTACACAATTTGAGTTAGAATTTGAGCTTTTCCAGTACCATTTACATTTATACTTCAGGAAGCATTCTAACCAGCAAAAAAGTGTTTGTGCTTAAGATTCTGAAGCTGATATGTAACAAGTACAAAAAATGCTGTTCACAGCATTTGTAGCTGAGTGTTCAGCACTTCATAGGTGTTGGTCAGGCTGTCTGTGACTCTACTTCTGACCATAAACGGAACATAATTAAGAAAGTGGTGTTTACAGTAGTCCAAGTTGTTGACAATGATTCTCTGCTTCTTGACAATTTTTTTAAAAGTTCTATTAGTCTTCATTTTTAGTGACTACTTTTCAAAATACCTCTTGTTTTGAGAAGCATCAGTATAAATTTACTAGGTTAAATAAAAGCTACCAGACGATATAATTTCAATTAGAGAATTATGTTTGCATTAGAATAGTTAAAAGAAATCAAACTCGCCACAGTCTTCAATTCACTTGCATAACTTCAAAATTGCCAAACCAATTAAAAGAAATGGTCTCCTGCTGGGGCCTGAGATGACACATTTCAGCCCTAAGCAAGTCTTTAAAGACAGGTTTATAAACCCTTTCAACAATAGATTTTATAATGGAAATGCTAATGCAGCTTTAGCAATATCAGTTCTTGCAGATGTTATTACATCATTTTTAGTAGAAAGGAAATAAATTCTTTTTCATGTATGATTAACCTCAGAAATTTTTAATGTATTTTTTAAGAAAAGAATTTACTTTACAATAGCTCCTGTTAACAAGTTCAGCCAAACCTTTTATCTTAAAATATTGCCAGATTTCTTATAATAGAAGTTCTCTATTGCTTTGTTAGCTAATTTAGTTTGGGAAGGAGTCTTACTTATCTGCACATAAAAAAATAACATTTTTTGTTGCAGTATTTTTATTAATTTTTTTTTCTTTTTCTTCATACAGTCTACAAAATTAGCTAAGAATAAACTTTTATTTTTGTTTTTATTGTTTTAGCTTCTCTTGGACGCGCAATGGAACTCATTTTGATATAGATAAAGATGCACAGGTAACAATGAAACCAAATTCAGGGACTCTTGTCATAAATATTATGAATGGTGGGAAGGCAGAAGCATATGAGGGAGTTTACCAGTGTACAGCAAGGAATGAACGAGGAGCAGCTGTTTCCAACAATATCGTTATAAGGCCTTCTAGTAAGTAAAGCTCTTAATGTTCATCAAATGTGAAGCACTTTGGTTTTCTTATTTGCTTATGAACTTTTTGCCTTTTTGTTTTCCTGTCTAAAAAATTCAGTCATCTACATGACCATGCTAGAAGTTATTGACTATTTTCTAATATTGAGGTATAATACTGTATTACATGTTCTCTCAAATACTTTTTTTACAAAAATTTAATGATCAAGTGTTTTTCTTGATGCATCTGGACAAACTTATAATGTTTAAAACTGAGTTGTATGTATGACTACTCCTAGAATAAAATATTTTAATTCTTAAGGCTTTAAGGATAATTTGTTGACATCGATGGCATAATTGATGACAACATTTTTTATCCTGTTTATGAAATCTGTATTCCGTAGTTTTTGTAATAGCTTTAGAACAGATTGGGACTAAAAAGAAGAACTAAAAAAAAAATTTGATCAATGGTAGATTGTTTCTACAGGTTTTTATGAGCTTTATCTCAGTTTAGTTTTCAAGTTTCTCAGCTTAAAATGTGCTGTTCTCAAATCTTAATTAGAGAGTGCATATATAATTCTGCTTCAGGAATGTCTACCCTTTTTCTATTTAAGCACATCACCCTTTTTTAATTCAGTATAGTTAAAAATTTGCAAGATACTGTTATAAAACCTATAGTGAGTAGACAAAATAATTTGGACCAGTTGATTATACTTTTAAAAAACCATTGATGTACTTTTCTTCCAAGAAAACATAAAAAAAAAAACAAAATAAAAACTAGCAAACAGGAAAGGACTAAATGTTCTGATGGATGTCGTTCTTCCATTTCTCTGGAATACTTTGTGCATTTTCCCTTTAAATTTTTGAGTTTTTGCCAATCCGTAGTTTGTGTGTGTATCAAAATTATTTCCTATAGGATCGCCTTTGTGGACGAAAGAAAAACTAGAACCAAATCATGTCCGTGAAGGTGACTCACTAGTACTGCACTGCAGACCTCCTGTTGGCCTACCACCACCTATCATATTTTGGATGGATAATGGTGAGTTTGTTTTTTATGCAGTTGACTTTTTGCAGTTTTTCTACGTAGTAGATCGTTGCTTACCAAAACCACAGATGGTGAAGTTTCCCTCTAAGTTAAAATTCAGTGAATTTCCATCCTCTGTAGAACAGAGGAAACAAGTAGACATACAGCCCAAAAGCACGAAGCCAAAAGCAGCTGGAGATGTTGATGTAAGTTGTAGATTAAACCACTGGGGAAGAATGGGTAGACAAGGGATTTCATCAGGAAGCTTGGAAATGTCTATATGTGTACCAAGTCACGAACAAGTGTAATTGAATGAATGTGGAGTCTGCAGATCATAATAATAGAGTGTGTCAATTATATTGGATTTAAATGTGTTCTTGTTTTCCCTTAGCTTTCCAAAGGCTGCCTCAAAGTGAGAGAGTTTCCCAAGGTCTAAATGGAGATCTTTATTTTTCTAATGTACAACCAGAAGACACCCGGGAGGACTATATCTGCTATGCAAGATTTAATCATACACAAACTATACAGCAGAAACAACCCATATCTGTAAAAGTCTTTTCAAGTAGGTATTGCATCACCAAATTACATACTTGCATAGTATTTATCTGAGTTCTCAAGTTACATGCTAAAGTTAAGTACTGTTAAGCTAGCAAATTTTGTCATTTTAATTTTGAATAAGAAGTTACGTTACTGTATAAACTTAATATGTAATCTTTTCTTGATATATAATTGATTTTAAAAGCTATCATTTTTCCCTTTATAAGGCTTTGTGTTTTGAAAAATTTTTTAAGATTTGATACATAGAAAAAATACAGTGTAAAAAATAAGTTTTCAAATGTTTTTCCAAAGCAAGAATATTAAGTTATGATGATAATTGTAACTATTGAAACAAATTAATCAATCACTTGATTAACTCACCGTGGCCATGTCATCATCTTTTGATTCCCAGAACTTTTATTTATCCCTCTTGTATGCTTTCTTCATGATATTCTGTTTATTTCAGTGGATTCATTGAATGACACTATAGCTGCTAATTTGAGTGACACTGATATTTATGGTGGTGAGTTACACTGGTCCCCACTGATACTCTTTGTTTTACAGTAGCATTTAGTTAACTAACTTCACCTCCATGACTACTTAATCTTTTGCTCAGTTTCTAATAAAGGTATTAGTGCTGGTGATAATACATACTTTACAAAGGGACTGCACAGTGTGATCCTTTCAAATATTTAATGTTTCAATACTCTTGTAACATATGGCTCAAAGAAAATATAAACACTTATAATAAAAGAGTGCTTTCACACTGATGCAGATTTTAAAAACTACTTCTATACTGTGTTGGTTTTTTATATTTTTCCTCTGATTTACCTAGTAGTTCGATTATGTTCATTATCACTAGGACTATTCAATGTCATGTGCTGCATAATAAATAACAAGCACCTAACAGATCCACTTCACATTTAATAACTTACTGAATGTACCAATTAATTCATAGGAGTAGGATAAGTTTTGTTTGTTTGGTGTTTAAGCTGGTCTTTCCATTAATCTATGTTGAATGGTCTTTTGTATGTTCTGAATTAAATCCTTTTGAACAGATGTATGTGTGTTTAGCAAGGCTAACTTTGGAACACCACTGATTCTAGAATGTTCACTTGATATTGGGTGACATAGAAAATACTTGATATTTATTCCTTTTTTTGTCTTTTTCCTTGTGAAATTGGGCTTTGCACATATTAAAGCATAATTTATGTGAATCTAAAATAACACATGGGCAAAGAATATTTTCCTTCTCTATATAAAAATTACATGTTATTCAGGAGGGACAAACAAGAAATAAGTACCTGAACACAAAACAATATATTAGCTACAATTAGTGAGGGAAACAGTGTTGGGTTGGCTCCCAACTCAGAGCCTCCATGGTGGCTCTTCTGAACACTCACAGTCTGGGCAAGTGAGCCAGCAGCCCTTGGCAGTGCCAGCACTGGGTAGATGAGTTGCTGCTGTGACTGTCGGCTGTGTTCTTGACTCCAGCAGCTCTGTTCCCCCACAATTTTAGGTTGTTTGTGTACTGTTACTGAGGAATTCACAGCACATGCTAGATTAAAACGAAGTGTTGTATTTTTGCTAATGTATCAGTAAATCCTGTACCCTAACAAACTTCGAGTTTATTACGTTTCTAATCCCATTTTTAAAAAACATAACTATTATTTTAATTTTTCAGACTCTTGCAGCACTTTAGAGCAATTTAGTTTTATATATTAAAATTGCTACAAGAGAACATTAGGGTATTCACAGAAAGCACTCTATAATTACAGAAAACTCTTATTCTGAATTCCAAGAAGGGATAGGAAATACCATATACTTCAAAAGCCAACAGAGTATAATGTCAGAAATGAGGCTTATATTTATATCTGCCTGTTTACTGTGGTTATTGCTTACAGGTTAATCAAGGTTCTATATTACAAGACTGGGGAGCAGCTTCAATTAAAGTTAAATATATAGAATAAGGAAAATACAAGGATTAATTTCTGAAACAATGCCTCACGTTGTCTAGAAAATATTAAAACATATTCCAAAGCAGACTGTACCTTTCACTCCCTTGGTTTATATTTCTGATTAAAAATAACTTTGCATTATTTTTATTTTGATGGAAGCCCAGGACTTTTCAGTAACTCTAAGTCTTGCCTCACACCAGTGGCCTCTTACTCCCTGTTATAGTTCTGTTGAATGAAACAGCAGCTACTTAAGATTAAGACTGCATAGTTGCCTATGTAAAAGCTTTGTATCAATTGTTCCTGTCTTTCAATAATAACATTTCTCTTCTATGTGTTCAAAATTGTGGTATTTAACAGATATGTTATGTCTGTAAAAAAACTAATGTGTTCAGCTTTGTAGTTGTGCTGCACAATGACTTTTAATCAAATGGCCAACATGGAACAAAATCTCTGTACAAAATGTGAGCATGGATGTATGCGCTTGATTGGTATTAGAACGAAATTTAGAAATTAATTGTTTTACTTCTTTGTGTTCCAGCAAAGCCAGTTACAGAAAGGCAGCCCGTTCTCCTAACACCAACAGGTAGCACAAGTACCAAAGTGGAACTCAGAGGAAATGTCCTTTTGTTGGAGTGCATCGCAGCAGGATTGTGAGTTGCTTTTGAGACTTGTTTTTTTCTAAATAGAAATACAGAAACAGAGGGAAACATTTCAGAGATGCTTAAAATGTGACCACTGTATAAGCCTAAGTGTTTCAAAGGAGCAGAAGTGTAAAATGGGAAGAGCTTTTTTAAGGAATTCCAGCATTTACGTGGACATCAGCAGACTTTGGAACTGGCTATGAACATGCATGGCCTTTGCCTTCTCATATCCCCAAACCCTATGCACGGGATATGGGTTGTACCATTGTTTTTAAAGGACACAGGCAAGTAATGCTATAGACTAAACTCGGGCACATATCCACAGATTTGCAGTCAGGAATAAAGCTTCTGTTGTTCTCCTAAGTTTACAGCCATTAGGTTCTCAAATTATATAAAACAGATAAGAATTTGCTGTTCTTATCCAAGAAAACTGCTTATATGTGTTAATAATTACCTATAGATCCTCTAGGTGGGAATTGTTAGAACAAATCTTCAGGTCCTTACATCTAATTTCTCATTGTAATTGAGCTTAATTGGTACTTCTTTCTTCAATGCAATGCAAGTTTGCTTCTGCTGGTTATTGTGCGAAATTACTAAGAGCAATTTAACTTCATTAATTAGGTTGATCTTTAAATTGGTTTCATTCTCAGGAAGAAATCTGAGAATAGATTGGTTATAGGATAGAAATGGAAAATCTTTAGTACCTATTTCAAGAACTGTCAATATGTTTACAGTGAACAAAGGCATTATAATGCAGAATGCTCTCAGGTTGCCATGAGGAAAGCCAATAACTGCAAATCGTGCACCACAGCACCATGCACATGTGTTCATTTGCATGAGCTCCACAGGGCATGCTCAGGCACAGCTTGATGTGAGCATCAGTGCAGTTTCTGTCTCAGCTCAGGTGTTTGCCCCAGCAGCACTAGCAAAACCATCCCTGTAAGTCAGAGTAGCACCAGCCCAAGTAATCTTCGTCTGCAATAAAGTTATATGCCTTTTACAACCCTGCAATAAAAGTATTAAGTGATTCAAACTCCAGTAAAATGGCTAGATAAAATCTGTGAAAAAAATAGAGTGCAATGTATTATATGGCTTTATGTCTTTAGCAATTATGTAATTTAAAAAAATCAATGAGAAAATACTTGTCTACAAAGGGCCAGATGTAGATTGTTTTTGAAACAGCTCTTCCTAATCCCTGACACCACAATTAAAAGTCATCTTTGCTAGGTGTCTGTGTTATAAAATATGTTATATTAGATTGCTAAGGAAACATTTGCATAGAGCCATTACTTTTTGAGAGGGAACATTCTATTTGATAAGCAACAAATTGCAATTTCTTGAAATTTTAAAATCTCCACATGTTTGAACAATTTTCAAATTCAATGGTCAACATGGGGCATAGCCACGATTTAGACTCAGTACGGTGACAAGTAGCTATACTTGACTCAGCACTGACATTTTTTCCTTGATTTCTCACAAGAAATGTTTCTGTCTCCTTACAACTCTTTTGTAAAGTTTATGATGTTCATGAAGCATTAGGATATTGCTCACACAAAGGACAATTATAAACTTGTCATTTTAGAGAAGCTGTAAATGAATGTCTTCATTTATTGACCATCAGGCTTTTAGATTAATCAGCAGACAAATGTATTCTGTAATTATTAATCCTATGAACAGATGGCCATTGACAATGTTAGTGAGACTTGTCATTTCCTAGAAACAAATGCTGGCATATTTTTCATATTTGTTGGATATGGCCCAGAATCTGGGTAGAGGCTCTTAAAATAATTATTTATAAAACATAGATTTAAAAAAATGACATACTGAACTCTTATCTTCCTTTTCTACAGTGCCTAAATTTGATCTGTGCTTTTCCTTCTCCAGACCCACACCAGTAATCCGCTGGATCAAAGAGGGTGGGGAACTGCCAGCCAACAGAACGTTTTTTGAAAATTTTAAGAAAACTCTCAAGATTATAGATGTTTCAGAAGCTGACTCTGGGAACTACAAATGTATAGCAAGAAATCCATTAGGTTCAGTTCATCATGTCATTTCAGTAACTGTGAAAGGTAATACTAAAATTATCCTTAATGTAATGTTGTCAATAGTCCAGAATGCAGGATTGAAGCAGGCTTTTTAGGATGAAGTATAGCTAAAAGGATGGATGATAATAGTTAAAAATCACCCTGAGTAAACATTCAACTGTCTGAATTCTAACACTGGAAGGGCTGTACTATCCATAATATCTTTTTAATCTTTTAATGTTACTTTGTAAAGCATCAGACTGAACTGGTATTTTACTATAACAGTAGTAAGATAATGCCTTAGTTTGCACAAGTATTACATTTATTTTAGATACTTTGATTATCTCTCATCAGACTGCGTCTTTCTCTTGTTTCTCTATCTTCCTCCTTATCTCTCTTTATCATCTCATAATTTTCTCCATTTTTCTTCTCTCCATTCATATAGCCCAGATTATTTTTTTCCTCTATTTTTCTATTGTCTTACAGTTTTATGTTTTTCTTCCTTTTTCTCTTTTACTCTGGGTTCCTGTCTTCTTCATGTTTTTTACCCGAGATGATGCCTTACAGTTCTAAAAACATGTACAACATGTTCTAAATAGGAATTTTAAGTATGCTGTGAATACCATGAAACAAAAAACTGTAATGACAGTTAATTAGTCATTGAAATAATCAGCTGTATTGCTTACTTTGCATGCTAAATAGTCATTTATTTTGTTGTAGATCAGCATCTTTTTATGATCACATTATTTAACCTCCTTTCTAAGAACAGAAGTTTAATTTTCTGTTTGCATCTGTCCATCAATCCAAAATCTGAAAATTAATTGCAAGATGTGATAATATATGCTGTTTGTGGTTATTTATTGTAAAAAAAGAATGGAGAACTACTAAGAGTATGGATATTTCTGAAAATCAAAAGACCACTGTAGTGTCTGCAAATGCCAAATTGCTTGCTTTAGGAAAGGTAAATTAGATTCAAAGCAGGCAACCCTAAATGAAACAAAGAACCTCTTATTGTTTATCTCAGAATTTTAATGCAGCGTGTGACCAGAGGGCCAGTTCAGCCAATGTATGATCTACCACTTAATTAAGTATCACCTACATATATATATATATATATATATATATATGTCTATATCTATAGAAGTACATCTAAACTGTTACTTTTATATATATATATATATATTCACACACAACATATAAAGTAACAGTATAGCTGTAAGTCTGTAGATATAGGCACATACCTTATTTGAATTATCTTCTGATTACCATGCCTGTACCTTAGGATTTTCTGTACTTAATTTTGGAAAATAATTGCTGTCTTTCTTTTCTTAAACCCAGCTGCTCCGTACTGGATAACAGCACCCAGAAATTTGGTCTTGTCTCCTGGAGAAGATGGAATATTGATCTGCAGAGCTAATGGCAACCCAAAGCCTAGAATAAGCTGGTTAGCAAATGGTGTTCCCATAGCAAGTAAGATTCTTAATTACCTTACAGGAGCATGAATAAGAAAATATGAGGAGTCTTAGGGTGGTGTTTGTCAAATAGATGTGAAGAGCCTGTATTTGTGTAGATTTTGCCTGACAGGTCATGCTAAATCATAAAAGATGTGATAAAAATACTGTGGTTCATAGAAGCTGAACAACAAAACGTGCCTTGAACATGTTTGAGAGAAGTAAAATGTCTAATCATGCTCCCGGTTCTTCTGTCTGGCATTCTGCTGGTAGTATCTTTGTGGAGATTGGATGGTCCTTCTCACAGGGCCATTCCTGGGATATCATTGTTAGCCCTGATTTTCTGTGACTCATGTCTGCTGGATCTCTCCTTTGCTGCCCCACTGCAACTGTAATGTTGCCTAGGAATCCTAAATGTGAAGTCCTCACATGTGTGGATATACAGAGCACTTGTAGGATTTGCAGTACACGGTGGGATTTGCAGCTTAGTATATGCTGGAGCCTTCCAGGCTTCAGCTCTTAAGAAGCTGCAGCAGCAAAACTGTCTGAATGTGTCAGCAGCTACCTGGCAAACCGTTTGTGCCAAGTAGGTGTCAAAGAAAAGGAACCCCTAAGGCAGTGGAACAGCTGTTTCTGTGTGCATGGGTAAGAAAAGCAGCCCTGAACTGGTGATTGAGCTACTTAATTGCTGCAGTGTTAGGACTGGCAGTGCTGTATGGCAGACACTAGGTAGCTGCTATATATGGTACAATTTGCCTTGGGAAGAACTTGCTGGAGGACACTGCAGTGTATTGTCAGCTGGGTTTGAGCATTCCCTGTACTGTAAAGTCACACTTGGTTCTTATACCTTTATCTTTCCTCTTTCTCAAAACAATAATAAAAGCACAGTCTCACCTGTTGGTTCGTGAGAGATAATGTACTCCAAAATACTAGTCTGTTTAAAGTATGGTAGTGTCCCTTCTGTCACTTTCAGAAGTTTAGGAGTTGTTTAAGTCTGATGAAATATAATTCACCCAGTTTGGGACATGGAGAAGATTGGTCTATGGTCAGAATCTAGGTAATAGCAAGAGGTAAAGAGAACTCTCATTAGATATATTTGAAGTATTTGGTATACAAAAGAGATTAAACTTATTTGTCGGTGGAGAAATGCAACTTTGGAGGACAAAAAAAGGCTTTATATTAAAAAAAAATAGAAATATGGAGCAACTAACCTGTTTCAGGAATCCTGATTAAATGGAAGATGAGATCTACAGACTGAGATTTAAAATGAAAAGTTTTAATTGGTTAATAAGTTATGTAAACTGACATTAATCACCTCGTGAAACAACGGTAAGACAGGAAAACAGGAAAATCTCAATGTAATTTTGCATAGTGTATATTTATAAATAAATATATCATAATGCATTTGTTATCATCAAAGTTCGGCACCTGTCCTTCACTTTCCATTCTGGGTTTTTGGTGGTCTCATCTTCTATTTTTGTTTTCTATATACTCACCATTTACTTTTTGTTTATTTGTTTGGAGGGGATTTTTATCCTGCAGTTCTTGTAGTTTAACTATTATTTAACTATTATTTCTGTCATCCTGACTAGTAAAATCTTTTTCACCTGGCTATCAGCTTTGCCTTGCTATTCTTCCTTATCAAAGCTGTAGGATGAGCTGTTCAAATGACCAATTTGACATTTTCCAGAAAAGCAGTGATGTGTTCTGCATTCTTTCATGGTAACAGTAAAACATTAAGAAATAGTTTTCAGAAGCAGCTGCAGGATGCCATCAAATTTCCCAAATACAAGGGCAGCATATATTGGATTGACCTTGAGGAATTGGTACACAAAGTCTTGTTGAGGGGAATTTGGTAAAAATTAAAAGACTTTAATTAAATTACCCTCTCAAACTCAGTAGGGGAAAAAAAAGAAAAGAAAAGAACACAGGAAATAAGTAAGTGGGTAGCTCAGCCTTATAATAAAGGCCACTTTCTGCTGAGATAATACTGCTGATGATACTGATGAGAAAAGCTGAAGTCTTATCCACATTAAATATTTAAGTGCAAGTTGATTGGATGCTCCAGTACACTGCATCTGTCAGGGCATCTACAAGAAGCATCATGATCACAGAAAGTGCAGTTCTTAAGATTCCTGTGATTTTTATTATTCTGAGTTATCAAAAGCTGTTCTGGAAATTACCAAGTACAGTGTGCCTTTTTGTTTACTTGTTACTAAATTATAGAATTGAGCCCCTCATCTTCCAAATGAATGATTAGGAAACTAAAGCAGCTGTTTCAGCTTCAGGGCAGTGCTGTGAGAGCTACACCCATGGCAGGATTTCAAAGAAAAAGAGCTACATTTGAATTTCAAAGCCCTGCTGTCATCATGTATCCCACAATGTGCCTCTTGTGGCCTAGTAATCTGTTTGCAATACTTTAATTTCCTATTGGAAAGCACAACTGGGAGATACTTAATTCTTCCAGTTTTGTTTTTCCATAATAGAGTCAGACAAGAAAGGGGGAATGTTGAAGAAAGAACCATTCGTCCATATCTCAGTCAGAGGCTGAGGTTTAAATATCTGTAGGGAGAAGGAAAAAAAAAAAGTAGAGAAAAATGTAGTGTGTGTTAACAATTATAAAATAAAATTGCAATGGTGTGAATTTTGTTCAATATTGCAATAATCTGAGTAAAAAAATATTTTTAAGTAACATTTTAGGTTTCCCTGGAATATTTTAATGAGTTTTCTTCAGCAGTCATGCTGAAAACACCAGCATTACTTAAAAAAAAGCTCCTTTAGCCATGTTGGAATGATAAAGACCTAACCTAATGTCCTAATGTTTACTCACAGGAGGAGTATGTTGAACTCACATTCCCAGTCCCCTTAAGGTTAATTAGAATTACTTTGGCAAGCAGCAATTGAAAGTTCAGGCCATGACTCTGTGTTGCCATGTGCTTCAATTAACACTCAAGATCTGCATTATTTATATCACTGCAAAATTCATTGTGTTTTACTGCTTAGATGTTCAGCATGGTTTTAGAAAAGGGAAGCCATGCATAAAGTATCTCAACTTTTAAGAAAGTAGCAACCCAGATTAATTGGGAAGTGGAAACACTTTCATAATTGGACTTCAGAAAGGCATTGCAGATACTGTACAAAAGGCTGATTTTTTGGTCCAGTGGTTTATAGTTCATGATGAGCTATTAAATATTAGATACAGACACTTAGATTCATACAAAGTAGTGGAAAGGCACTGTTTATCTTCTTTCAGCATATTCTTCTCTTGTTATGTCACATTTCGCATTGAATCTCTAGGTTTGACTTAGTCTCCATTAGTACTCACACTAAATTTAAGGGTGAAACATTAGCCCTTAGATTTCCTTCATGAAAGGCCTTGCTAATCCCTGGCTGAGAGATTCATCATCCATGATTTTCTCTGAGAGTACACACCACAAGCTGTTCACTGCAGCCATTGGAAGGTGGGGAGAAATTTGCTGGACCCTTAAGCCCCCAGTATTTCAGTCTTGGAGAGAAGACTGCTTGGGAAGATCTTTGTCCACTCCTTCTGCTGTCGTTGTGTTGGAACTTTACACCTGGCCTAGGAACTTCAGCAGATGAATAAACCTTTGATAATCAGGCTTTTTTCAATTCTGCACAAAATAGTCGAAGGATGGTTATAGTTAGTGCAGGTAATGTTGTACCTTTGGAGAGAATAGAGCTATCAGAAACTTAGGAAAAAAAGGATTTCAGTGATCACAGGAAAATAATATGCTAAGGAGCAAGCAAGATTGGTATGAAAAGGAAAAGGACATTCTTTACTATTTCAGTTATCCATGTTTTTTTAATCCAGATCTTTTCCCTTCCAGTTCTAAGCCTAACAGTGTGTTTTAATTGCTTCTGTTCAGAGACCACATGTCATTCTGTCTTTTTTTCCAAGAAAAGGAAGTAATAAGAGTGCCATAATGGTTATTTAAACATACTAGCAAAAGTAATTGCCATTCTGTCTTTTTTCCAAGAAAAGAAAGTAATAATGGTGCCATAGTGGTTATTTAAACATACTAGCAAAAGTAATTGCCATTCTATCTTTTTTCCAAGAAAAGAAAGTAATAATGGTGCCATAGTGGCTATTTAAACATACTAGCAAAAGTAATTGCTTAGGCTGTCAGAAGTTTATGAAACAGATGGAAGTATGCATTCAAATGAACAGAAGTTATTCAGGGTGCTGATCTCTAACTATGACAAAAATATGTGGTGGAGGCCCTGCCTCCTCTGTATAGGAATATGCTGAACATGGCTAGGGTCAAGAAGCTGTATCATTGCACAATGTGATGAAAAAATTAGGTGAAACCAGGTCTTTATGCAGAAAGGACCGAAACACATTCATAAGCTGAGATTCCTTGTTACTGGGAGCAAATGTTGGCTGTTAGATGGCAAATGTTCACCTGTCTTGTTACAGCAGCAGAATTCCTATAGCAAATCCTTGTAATTCTTTATCCTGTTTGTACATGTCCATATTAAGTATTACGTAGTTTTTTGCCATGTTGCCTATCAGTGCCAAATTCAGATTTGTCTAATGTGTCAAAAGCATTTTCTCCTTCTCATGCAGCTGTTGTGCAATGTCACCAGAATATTCATAAATACAAACAAGCTGTGCTTGAGTGGCACTGCCATCACTCCTTTTCCTCAGAAAAAGATTTTAAAAAAACCCCAAACACAGACTGGTATATGGAAAGGGGTGAAATACTGCATGCTAATTTTCCTTAGTTTTTAGTAGCAAGACAGACCTTCAGGAACCCCAGGTCCCAAAGCCCAGGGGAAAAGACTAGAATGAGATGTACCCTTGGTGGAAAAGGACTAGGTCAGGAGCAAACATAGCTAAGTCTGTGGGCTCTGATGCAGGCCACAAGTACTGACTGAGCTGGCATATGTCATTGCAAGAACAGTCTCAATAATCTTTGCTTGATCATGGTAACTGAGAGAAGTGCCTAAAGATGGAGAGAAAGCAAATGCTGCTCCTGTCTTCAACAAGAGCCAGAAGGAAAAACCAGGGAACTACAAACTGGTCACTGTCACCTTTATCCCTGGTCATGGAGCAGCTAATTCTGGAAACAATTTAAGGCACATTAAGGACAAGAAAACTTTCTGGAGTAGTTTTCATGGCTTTACCAGGGGGTGACCAACTTGATACATTTCTATGATGAAATGACTAGCCAGGTAGATGAGGGCAAGTGTAGTGGATAATGTCTGCCTTGACTGCAGTGAAGCCTTTGACACTATCTCTCATTAGATCCTCATGGACAAGCTGTTGATGTAGGGGCTGGATAAACAGGCAGGGAAGTGGATAGAAAAATTGCTGAATGGCCAGACCCTGAGAGGGTGATCAGTAGAACAAAGTCCTGCACCTGGGAAGGAGCAGCATTAGTGCCAGTACATGCTGGGGGCCATCCAGATGGATAGCCTTAGCAGAACAGGACTTGGGCATCCTGGTGGACACCAGGTTGACCATGAGCCAGCAATGTGCCCTTGTGGCAAAGAGGCTAACATTATCCCGGGCTAGATGAGACAAAAGTATAGCCAGCAGGTAGAAGAAGCTGATTCTTCCCCCATCTGGACACAGTTCTGGATAGCTGGATCCAAGTGGCCCTGCTTGAGCATGGGGTTGGACCAGATGACCTCCAAAAGTCCCTTCCAAGCTCAGTTGTTTCTGTGTCCGTGAGTGCAGCAGTGGGTGCTTCAGACCATTAAAGAAGCCGTATTGAACAGGCAGTTGAATAAATGCCAGTCTTAGCAGGGAGCTTTTGAATTAGTGCCAGCATGCAAATGGCTAGACCAGTTAACAGAAAGCACCAGCTAACCTGACACTTGTGTCTTCTTTTCTCTTGGGACCCCAGCTTGAAGCCCTTTTCAGAGAACAGGCAGCTACCTCCTTTCCTTCAGATAGCTGAAAGGGGTTTATCCCTTTTTTTCCTTCAGCAGGAAGGGAAGATGCTGCCCCTCTTTTTATATAGTAGTTTAATGGTTAGATCATTCTTTTACGATGCACTTCCTTCAGTCATAGAGGATTGAACTAATGGCTTCTATCTCTTAGGAGGGTCCCTACCATCATCCTGTAAGGGATTATGTGTTGGAGTGTGTGTGAAGGGGGCAATCTGTCCACGCATTAAAGACCTGCCTGGGTGCACAAAGTGCTGCAGGTTGGGTGGAGGGAAGCCCAGAGCCCAGGGCCGGAGGCAGCCATGCTTGGAATGGCTGCGGGCAGTTCTTCTTCCTCGTGGGAGAGCAGTTGTGTCTGTCTTCTATTTAACTGTGATTTGTGATTTGTATGCAGAAACAGACTGCTTCCCGCAGCTGACTGGCCTGCCTGCTGGGCCACTCACCTGCTCCGGCTATTTTCAGCCCATGAAGCTTTTAATGAAAATGACATTTACATAGAAAAAGAAGCAATGTGAAACATGGAACACAATAGGAAGTAAAGCAAAAGAGAGAAAAATATATGCCAGTAGCCCAGAATTCCAGAGAATAAGCATTTAAAATCTCAGTAGTACCTTTTTTTTCTTTCCTGAAATTTTTGAATTTTTGTTGTTAATTTGAACTGAGAGTGATGGAAGACCAGAAAAAAACAGAAATTGAAATCTATTCTTGTGGCAGCTTTTTGGAAATTGAGGTATTTACATGAAAAATTGCCTTAGATTTCATCCAAGTTGGAAATACCCTTAAGCAGAAGCACAGAACTGTGGTCTCCTTCATCTGGTTTCTTCTCATGTAGAGAATTCAGTAGTAGATACTTTAAGAAAATATCTGCATTTTCTTTACAGATGAGAACTAAAGTATTGTCTGAAGTCAAAAAGTTCCTGTCACAGAAAATTTATGTTAATTTAGTTGATTGATCTTTTTTATGAGTTCAAATAAGAATTTCCTTATATGAGAATGTGTTCCACAAATATACTTTTTCAGGTTTCAATAAGGGTATCAATTTTGATGATGCAGCCAAACTAGAATGCATTTAATTATGTTTAAACGCATCTGTTTTTCTTATTAGTTGATCAGTAATTTTGCCACTGTTTTTCACTAATAATAATACATGTGCTTTTTAATACAATAATAATATACCTGGTCTTATCTAGTATGTTCCTAAAATATTCAACTAGAGATGGTGCATTGTTATACAGTGTGATGTTACAAGCCAAATTTTTTCTTCATTATACTTCTCTAGTGCCGTCCAGTTGTATCAGAACTGACAGCTGTTATTCTTCTGTATTTTCTTAGAATTTGTTTTATGTCCTGGGTGCTTGTGTGATGCAGAAGCTATTTGACAGCTCAGGGCACTCCAGAACAGTCGAGGAAATGGCACCGTATAATTCTTACATAAGGGAAAGAGTGCCACCTACTGAATTACTCTGCCCTTGTGAAGATTGTTTCTTGATTTTTTTTTTTGATTGTTTCTTTGATTTTTTCTAGTGTGAAGGAATGCTTATTTTTTACTGAGATAATTTTCAACTGAGTATGGCTATTTTTACATTTGGAAAATTATTTATGGTGTAACAATCAATTCAAAACTTTAAAGTCACAGAGGACTATGTCATTGTATCAGCATTTTCTGTTGACTTTCGGAAAAATTTCTGTATTTTTCTAGATATTGACTCTATTTGCCCAAATCTTGTCATATTGTTATTTTTCCTCTGTATTACATGCAAAATACTATCTCAGCTTCACTTCCTTGGAAAAAACAAAAAAAAACTCTCAAAAAATGAGAACTCTACCATCCCGAGTTAATACTTGTAGAATTAGAAGAACTTTTAAAACTGTATTAAAAGTCACATTTTTACCAATGAGCAATTGCCCAGGGGAAAAAAACATAAAGGCTATGTTGGTCTTTCAGATTCTTCCTTCTTTTCAGAAGTACGAAACTTGCAATCCAATAGAAGTTTAGGAAAAGCAATAACTTTTTCTTTACATCAACAGTTGCGCCAGAAGATCCCAGCAGAAAGGTGGATGGTGACACCATTATTTTCTCACACGTGCAAGAAAGGTCAAGTGCTGTCTATCAGTGCAATGCTTCTAATGAGTATGGATACTTGCTAGCAAATGCATTTGTGAATGTTCTGGGTAAGAAACAGATATGTTTTTTATATTTTTCTGTTGTCTTGGGTATTCAGTTGTCTCCTGCTAACACACAGACTCTCTGCTCAAGCCTTGCTTGACGTCTTCATTGGGAGTTGATCTATTTTCTGGCCCCTGTAAAGAGCAAGGGTATACATACTGTGTTTTTTCTAGTATATTCCTAAATTTCACTTTCACTATTCCAAAGTAAGAAGGATAGATGTGAGAGCTGGGAAAACTTGAAAGAAATTTTATTTCTCTTTTTTATTTATGTAAGTCAGTCAAGCAGAAGGCAGGAATTATCGCTTAAGTTAGTATATTTCAATACAGTTTCACTGAGTCTAGATGTTTTGGATCAGTGGAATAGATGATCTCCAACTTGCTGTTGCAAGGGGACATGATTTTGCATTTGTCTCTAAGGCTTCCCTGGCATGCGTTTCTGATTACAAAATGTTGTGGCCCCTCTAAATTCTTCTGATTGAGTGTAACAAAGCTAGTAGCAAAATCCTAGGCAGAATGTCTCGGCCTCTAGTGACTCTCCTGCAGGAACTGGTAGATGTGTTGATTGACACTGTCATTTAAAAGAAAGAAAATGTAGGTGTCACACCAAAAATGCATCTTTCTGCCTGCAGGTTTGTTTGGAATTAGATAGTTCGGTCTGTACCCAGGAGATTATCTTCTTGAAGTATATACTGATTTAAATTTTCCAATTGAAATCATTGCCTTTGGTGCTCATCACTATTGCTTGTAAATAGGCAAGAAACAGTTGTTCACAAGATAATTTCCCTGCATTAACTTTTCCTCAGGCTAGTACCAGTAAAATGTATTTGAATCCAAACTGAGACCCAAAATAATCTCAAAGAAAGAAAAATGTTTGTATGTAGTTCTTTAGGCCATTCTTGATATCTTTGTATTTTGTAACTATACTTTTTACTACATATTTACTATTTGTAAATTTGGAACTATATGATATCTGTCTTTTCAGCTGAGCCACCAAGAATTCTGACTCCTGCTAATAAACTGTATCAAGTCATTGCAGACAGTCCTGCATTGCTAGACTGTGCTTATTTTGGATCACCTAAGCCTGAAATTGAATGGTAAGCTCTAGCTGTGTTTATGTTACAGAAGATGAGCCAGTTACATCTATGGAAACAAACACTTAAAGCTTTAAAACTCTTTAAAATCTATTTAAAATTTAATACAATACGTTAATACAATATTGCATAGACTTAATGAACCAGCAGTAAAGTTACGCCTATGGAGTCAAGCTTAAATTTCTTTCTTTCTATTTTCTAATGTGGCAGTCCTAAGTTTGATTTTACTGATAATAAAACCATACGGAATTTAACTGTGATGCTGGCTAATGATATTACTTTTTATATAAAGGTTTAAGGGAGTGAAAGGTAGCATCTTGCGTGGAAATGAGTACGTTTTCCATGATAACGGAACCTTGGAAATTCCAGTGGCTCAGAAGAGTAGTGCTGGTACATACACATGTGTAGCAAGGAATGAATTAGGAAAGATACAAAATGAGGTGCAGTTGGAAATTAAAGGTGAGAGATTAGTCATTCTTTCATCACTGATTAGTACAGAATTTCAGACTTTCTGAATATCTAATTTAATTAATTTAATTTAAAATTTCAGATCCAACAATGATTATTAAACAGCCAGAATACAAAGTGATTCAGAGATATGGCCAGGCTTCTTTTGAGTGTATAATAAAACATGATTCCACCTTACTACCAACAGTTACATGGTTGAAGGACAATGATGAACTACCAGATGATGAAAGGTAAGGGACCACATAGTTTTCGTTTATTTTTAATTTTCTAGGTCCTTTTGTCTGCTCGTTTTCCTGATCTTTGAAAGGACTATTGACCTATTGACATTTCCCAAAGAAGACTGATAAACATCATGCATATCCAATATTTGGTGACTAAAGGACTTAGCTAGTGTGATGAAAATATTAAGATAGAATTAAAAATAAAATGAGATGTAAACATTTATACAAACTGTGCACACTGACCTTATAGATTAAATGTAAAGTAAAGATAATTGACATAAGAAGCCAAACAGATAACAGAAAACTATCTTGCTCTAGATGACATATATTTAAAATCTGTTTGAAAATATTTGGGAAGAAAAGCACATTAGAATAAACAGTTACTGTGGGAAGATGGTCAAGAGCAATGACGAAAAAAAAAACCTGGTGTTGTCCCATAGCTTAACTTGGGTAAACATGTTTAGGTATGTACAAGCATATGGGATTTGATAATGTTTTATGCAAGTTTCTTATACCTGTCAGTTATTGAAAAATCAGTGGCTGAATCTATTGTATTTACAGGTTTCTAGTTGGTAAAGACAACTTGACCATTATGAATGTAACTGATAAAGATGATGGAACATACACTTGCGTAGTTAATACTACTCTGGACAGTGTTTCAGCAAGTGCTGTGCTTACTGTTGTTGGTAAGAATACTCTCAAACTTTTAATGTTAATATGAAAACAGCATCAGATTTAAAGTGAAAAGCACAAACATAGTTTTGGTTTTTAGGGCAGGATAAAGGAAATGTCACCTATGTGTCAATGTGTTTCAGTTTTTTAAAAATGTATTTTTTTTAAATACAAGTTTGCATTTGAATCAGCTGCTGACGAAATGACTGAGTTGCTACAGGACAGATTTGTGTTGTATCGCTTTTTATTTTGACCACATCTGAGCTATTACAGGAAATTAAATTTTTAAGGGTATTTGAACATAAACATGGTAGAATCACAGAATGGCTAGGGTTGGAAGGTACCTTTAAAGTCATCTAGTTCTAAGCCCTCTGCCTTAGGCAGGGACATCTTCCACACAACCTCTCTGGGCAACCTGTTCCAGTGCCTCATGGTAAAAAATGTTTTCCTTACAGGTAACATAAACCCAATCTGCTTCAGCTGAAGCCATTGCCCCTTGCCTTATCACTACACACCTTGTGAGAAGTCCCTCTCCAGCCCTCTTGTAGCCTGTTTAGGTGCTGGGAGGCTGCTCTAAGGTGTCCCCAGAGCCTTCTCTTCTTTGGACTGGGCAGCCCCAGCTATCTCAGTCTGTCTTCATAGGAGCTCCAGCTCTGTGGTCACCGTAGTGGCCCTCCTCTGAACTCATTCCAACAGGTCCATGTCTTTGTTGTATTGGGAGAATGTTATCTCAGGAATCTCTCTGACAGCTAAATAATGTTTCAGAAAGACTGAGCATATGTGGCTGCGTGACTTCTCATGGATTGTATTTTTAGTTAGTTCTCTGTTAATTTTTTATGATTGCAGCTTCTTGCCAAATATATTACTATGCCCCTTCTCCAATTTGTAAGAAAGTTCTAAGTAGATATCCTGAATTATTCTTGTGTGAGTTCGATGTGAGATTCAAAGCAAGTATGTTTGTGTTTTAATTTTTCCTGTGATCTTATGCCTAGCCAGGAATGATCTAAGCCAAAAAACTAGTACTTATTTAGATGTTTTTATAAGATAGCTTACTTTATTTATTTTCTTGATCTATCCTTATTTCAAAGAATGAATAAAATACTCAAGAATACTTTTTTTAACTCTTCAGTGAAAAATGATCATGTGTTTTTTTTAATTAACCGTTTAATCTAAATATGTTAACTTTTCTTTGTCTCTAATAACGATAGTCTTTAACTACCTACAGTATTCTGTTTCTTTGGCTACTAACTGATTAAATCCTTTATATTAATGTTCTTTTCAGCTGCTCCCCCAACACCAGCTATCATTTACGGTAAACTAAAACAAAGTTCTCTTTCTACATCATCAGGCAGAATATTGCTCGTTTTTCTGTTGCAATTTTTTTGCCTATTTTTTTCCCCTTTTCCTCTGTGTGTGTATATCTGTGTCTGTTTGTGTGGTTTCATCCCATTTTACCACCTACTTCATTACTGTTCTACAGAACTTTTGAATGTTACAGTGCAGGCTGCTTTATATTTACGGAATAAGTGATTTTCAGAGATAAATTATTTTTCATTAAGATTGCATATATTATGGCAATGTTTTTCTCATAAACCACAAATTAGTTATATAATAAATGAAATATCTGAAATGTAAATCCAACTCTTCAGTGAAAGGTTATTCACCATTAGAGACGTTGCACTAACCAAATTATGTTGTATGTTACCATTGGTTTTGCAGCCTTGTAGTCCTCCTCTATTTTATTTCATGTTTTATCTTCATTTTACTCCACTCATAAGATGAATATGACCATATTGACCAGTCTGAGTTATAACTGATGAAATCGCCAAGATTTTGAAACTTAAATTAAAACTTAGAAAAAAAAAAAAGAAATCTGTTAGTCAGGCATAGTCTTAAATTTTATGGTATAGAGCCTTTGATTTGGTAGCATGTTTTCTGTATTTGGGGGTACAAGTGCAAGATAAAAGCTAAAACACTTTCAGTATAAGGTTTTTAAACACTTTCATGTAAATCCTATCAGTAAAATAGATTCCATGAAAATGTTCGTGTATTCTTACAAAAACCTACTTACTGGTGGTGATACTTGTGTAATAAATCATCTAATAAATTACCTTCAGGAATTTGGAATAGAAAATTACATCTTTACGCATTATAAGGATGCATAATAACAGTTTGCATGGTATTTCTGAGACTTTTTAAAAGAACAGCAAAAAATAAATAATTTAGTAACTTGCAATTAGTTTATATTTGAAGTATAATTGTTTTGAATTCACATAAAAATATTTGTAATGGTTCTAGAAAAGCTTCTTTGGTGTGAATGCTTCTTTATTTTCCATGTTCTCTGAGGTATGTCTGTTACAATAGATAACTACCTATAATAATTCAAAGATAAACTAAACATTTCATAATTCCTTACATCTCATCACATTTTTATATCTCAGTGCACTCAGACATAGATAAAAATAAATACCAATTGTTGTTATTGTGTAGAAGTTTCCAGGTTACATCAGTTCTCCATTTTTGTCTGTTTTGTAACAATTGCATGCTATTGATCTTTAAGTCATGCTTACATAAGTGAGTAGGTCTGCCCTCCTGTATTTGTGGAATTCTTTGATTGGAATGTAAAGATATTTTTTTTCAAATATAAGACTACATATTCTGGTGTGGTTACTTACTTTGTGTTCATTTGATTTACAGCTCGGCCAAATCCACCCTTTGACTTGGAATTGACAGGTCAGTTAGAAAGAAGCATTGAACTCTCATGGATACCAGGAGACGAAAACAACAGTCCCATTACAAGTATGTTTGTTTGTCTCTACTAAACTACACATTGAAAGTGTTGTTCTGATTGTTCTCAAAATCCAAATATTTCTTGAATACCACATGGGAAAATGGTAAATTAATTCTCTACAGCTGCCATTTATTTACATAACATACCCTTAATAACTACTGTACAGCCAAGCAGGAAGATCTATTTACTGCCCAGAAGAGCTGGGCTTTTCTATTCAAAAACTTGTGTTAGATAATATAGAAGTTATATATGCTGATATTTATGCTGGTCTGTCTGACAAGGTCCAATTTTATGAATATGTAGAGAGCCAACTTGTTCATTGCTTGTATGCTTCTGAAGGAGAGAGCTACAAACATCTTGCATTAACTCTTTTGTAATTCTGTGAATTTGAAACAGCATCAGTACCACCATTGTCAGTGATAATCCATCACTACTGGTGAGAAGCTTATTCATGAAAATATAAGGTAGATAGTTTTTCTGGGTTTTTTTTTTCCTAGTCCAGTTAAAAGAATAAACCATATCCATAAAGCCAAACAATTAAATATCTATAGAATTTTGTGACAGTAAACTGATCTTAAATGCTGTTACTCTTTCCAGTAAAACATAATGAAAGACTCTAGCTTATATTGAGCAGGGAGGATAGAGGAGGAATTTAGGAGCAAACAACAAAGATATTAATGCTTGTTTTCCAAAAAAATCATGAGATCAGAAAGACTTTCTGGCATTACTTTTCCCATATGAGCTAGTTAATTCAATTATTTCATTATTTATGCAGTTTTTAGATAACTGCTACAAGTTGCCAGTGCACATGTTATGTTTGGAATTAATTCGTTAGACTGACTTACTGGGTGTTGCTCTCCAGGGTTTGATGCTAGTCGGTATCAACACTGAAAACAAACCATAAGGATCAGCTTTCTTGAAAGGAAAAAACAGAATTTCACAAGTTTCTGAACACATTAAAGATTTTGATTGCATTTTAATGAAATGCTAAGTGATTTTTCTCACAAATTTTACAGTCTCAGGCATCTCTAATGTATATCAACTAGTGGTACACTTTAAAAAATGTAATATATAGAAGATCAGTGTAAATAGTTGAATAGTGGTTTATTCACATACATTTACTTTTATTAGTATTCTCTTTTTTTCCACGCCAGAAGACACAAATGTTGTCTTTCTGTAGGAATGAGATCGCATTTTTCCAAAACAGTTAATACTAGGCAGTGTTGTGTCTTGTAGGTTTTTCTAGAATGAGATATTGCCCACAGTCTCATATTGGAAACTGAACTTCTTTAACTAAATAATGTTGGGTATAATTATAATACAATTTATATTGCTGCATGGTCTTCTTAGAGGCTGCAAAATAAGGCATTTGCTTCCTAATTAAGCCTATTTCTTTGGCTGCTGCTATCACTTCAAAGTGCAGATGAAGACTCAAGGATTTCACTTCATTAGGCGTGATCTGTTTGTGCAATATGACTGACATGCTGGAATCTCTCTGAAAGCTCAGATAGGTTTTTTTCCTTGAAGTTGCCTATAAATTATTCTAGTAGAGTTGCCAGCAGAAGGCTGGTGACCAGGGAAGCAAAAAGCAATAGTGAAAACCTTTTTGGCTTATAATAATCTCACCTCTTCAGCAAAGCTTTTATCCCAAAGGCATCCCATCCCAAGACTTGTATCACTAAGCACACAACAGCAGTAGCAACTCAGACAGTAATTTGGGGGCAATTTTCCCTCTTTTTCTTACTAGTTAGGTCAGAAAGAAATCTGACAGCCTTAAGTCCAGAAGACTATGATTAGCACTACTTATGTCTTTTACATCTTGCTCCTCAAATTGTTGAGCATTTTTCTATGGTGATGCTGCATTCTTCTAAAAGAAATTTCTAAATGCCACTCAGAATTTTTTCAGTAGTGTGAACAGGATGACTCTTGAGTCATGTTATGTGTCCACCTATACATGAAATAGAGGAAAATTCTTGTTGTGCAACACACAAATATTTGACACTCAAGGTTCCATGGAATGTACTCAGACTATACGTTTTTCTCCCATTTATTTATTGTGTCCTAAAAATTCCTCCTAAGTATTTCAGAATTCATATCTCTTATCTTACAACAAGGTTTTTTGACTGTTTCACATCTGTCCTTTTGTCTTTAGTAATGAATATTATTTTGTTTTTGGAATTCTACAAACCTATTTATCCCTGAGGTTATAATACTTTGTAGGGTCTTAACAGTAATCATCGTAATGTTCACACAGAGAACTCTCAAGAAATTCAGTTTCTTGACATGCATTCCCTGATTTAATTTTAAGATAATGAAAAGTGCTCTCACAAACCTTCCTCAAGTATAGGTTCTTGACTTTAAATAGATTTTCATTATGCTAGTTTCATTGGGGAAAACAGAATATTCAGGGAGTTTTAAATTAATTCAGATTTTGCATGCTGTCTGCTTAATACAACTAAGAACAATGTATTTGGCAATCAAATTCAACTTCCTTGCTGTGATAGTTCAAGGGTTCCCAATAAATTAAAATCTGGTACCTGAGAGAGAGCTCTTGTAATAATGTTACCTGAGAGATGTCTACGTTAGTGACAGTAGCAAAAGATAAAAGTGTTTTTTTATTATGTTTTACCTATATTTCTACTTTTGATATCCACATTATAAATTTGTTTTATAGTTTATGTATTTACATGTTCCATGATTTTTGAAAGCACTGATTGAAGCAATCCCTTCTGACTAGCTCATTCAGAAATGCCTATACTTGTCTGGGAAGCCTTTTCAAGTTTTGACATAAATTTGGATTCAATTCCTGCTTGCAGATTTTGTAATTGAATATGAAGATGCACTGCATGAACCAGGAGTGTGGCATTACCAGACAGAAGTCCCTGGCACTCAGACAACAGTGCAGCTGAAGTTGTCTCCGTATGTCAACTACTCATTCCGTGTGATAGCTGTCAATAAGATTGGCAGAAGTCAGCCAAGTGAACCATCTGAGCAGTACCTGACAAAATCTGCAAGTAAATAATTATTCCCACTTGCCAGTGATTGATTCCTGCCATTAATAGCATTGGATTTGCTTGGAATCCCACAGCAGCCATTTTTGTTCACATGTTAATATTTTATTTTTAGGCCCTGATGAGAATCCTGCTAATGTACAGGGGATAGGCTCAGAACCTGATAATTTGGTAATAACATGGGAGGTAAGATGGGTCTTTTTTTAAGGTTTCATTTGTTCTCAGGTTTGTGAGTAGCTTTTTTTTCTTTTTTCTTTTTTTGCTTGCTTAAAATATTCTTGAAAATGAGCTAAATTCAGACATTTTCCCATCTTCATTTTCATGAAAAAACGGAATTTTTTTTTCTTTTAGTATGAAAATAAGTTAAGGGGGGGAGGGCATATTTCATTAAGTGATTTCTCAAAGTAAGCCAATAATTAGGTAATACAGGATGTTTTGCTGGCAGTTTAGGAAAACTTCAAAATATAAATGGAGGTTTATTTCAAGTAGAGTCTAATTTTTAGAGTGAATTCTAATGTGAATGCTACTTCTACTGTCATCTTTTATGATAAATTAATCGTTGTGCACTTTTGTGCCCTTACCATCATGACAGGAGCTCAAGCCATGAATAACAAATTTGCCCTCCTAGGCAAGAAATATTGCCTAGGGTACACTAGGAGCTGGTGCAAGTCTGATTTTCTCTCTTCCACTTATTAAGTTTTTGAAAAAAAATAAATATATATATATGTACATATATATACAGAAATCTCAGTATGTTGTTTGTGTAAGACTTAGCCACCAACATCATTCAATGTGCTCTTCACCAAAAAGTGAAAAGCAACTAAAGTGACTTCTTATAAAAGCTAAATTGCATAACTTTCAGCAGTGCTTCTCTGTTGCAGAATACAGTGATAAATTTTCAGTGACATTCTCTAAAAGAATCAATGTATTTCCTTCTAAATTAAGATTTTTCAGATGCTTCAGAATACTTAAAATTTTTTTCTTTTCATTTCAGCCTTTAAAAGGTTTTCAGTCTAACGGACCAGGGCTTCAGTACAAAGTCAGCTGGCGCCAGAAAGATGTTGATGATGAATGGACATCTGTTATAGTTGCAAATGTATCTAAATATATTGTGTCTGGTACACCAACTTTTGTTCCATATGAAATAAAAGTGCAAGCTTTAAATGACTTGGGGTATGCACCAGAGCCATCAGAGGTGATTGGACATTCAGGGGAAGACTGTAAGTTTTGTAGTTTGACTCAGTTATCCTAATTAAAAGGATTAACCCTAGCTAAATGTGTAACCTAAATGGGTATTTAGAATACTGGGCGATAGCAGTTATTTTTTAAATTAAAAGGAAGCAACTTGGAGATAGTAAGGCTTCATAATACTCTGTAGTATCAATCCTGAAAACACTTTAACCTATTCCATGAGTACAGCTCAAAGACTCATTCCAAAAACCTATGTTTGTGTGGTTTCTAATTCTAACTAGGTGCTTGTTGCATCCTTTCCACACAGTGCCAATGGTTGCTCCAGGCAATGTGCAGGTTCATGTTATTAACAGCACATTAGCAAAGGTGCATTGGGACCCAGTTCCACTAAAAACTATCCGAGGACACCTTCAAGGGTACAAAGTAAGTACAATCAAAAGCATTCTCTTCCTTGTTTATTAAAATAGATCAATCTTTCTATATGAGATTGTATTCAGATTGAAGTAACTGACATGTGAGAGGACTTGTGCTTTTCAGTGAGCTCCCAAGTTGTGGTGACAAGAGCAACAGCTTTGATGCAATTCATACAGAGTTCAGCAATGTTCCAGCCTTGTAGCAGCAGCCTCCTGTGACATTGTCCTTGAAGAAAAATGGCATATGTTTGCAGTCAAGCTTGCACATGTTAAACAGATTAAAAAATGGTGACAGTTTTACAGATCTTTTTCCAAAGTAATTTAGAGGATATGAAGAACTAGTTTTTGTAGGAGTCTCTTCTAGGTCTAATGCTAAGGTTAATGCTCATTTTCTGCTTCAATATGATTAATCACTTTAGTTCAGAGTAACTAGACACTTGCTAGCATATGCTGGGTTCTATGTCTTTTTGGAGGCCAGGAAAAGGCTCAGTGTAAAAGCTCAACGTAAGGACATACGAAAAGGCTGAAGATTCAGAGTGCCGTATAATTGAAGGAAGCTTATTGCAAGGTAGTGTGCTGCCTTTGGTCAAAACTGAAAAGGCTGTGCTGGAGACAAAAGAGTGCAACTAATAGAGAAGGGGAGACAGAAAGACTTCAAGATTTGAAACTGGTGTGCCTGGGGGATAGGGAAAGTTGCTTCAGTGAGGATATACTGACATCCTATGTAAGAATAGAAGAAAATCAAAGTAATTCCTTCTTTTCTGCTCTGCAAGTATTCTTATAAGTATGTTCTAACAAAACAGATTACTTAACCCAAACTAAATTAGTTTGTAAGACAGACTACTTTGAATTACTTCTGTTTAAGTGAAAGGAAGTAAAATAAATATTTGAAAAAATAAAATAGTAAAAAGTATTTAAAGGAGAATAAATATACACCATACTTATAAAATGGAGCAGGTTCAAAAACATTGAAACTGAACTTCAGTGCTCTATAGCTGGTCACCACATGAATGTGAGTTCCTGCTATGTGGATATCTCTTTCCTGGCAGAAAATACCACCATCCAGAGAGACTTAAACTAGTCCTATATGACATAGCGTGAATGTTTGTAGTTTGTGTGGTGCTCTGCCACACTAACTCAATAAACTCAGCTGAAAAACAGGACTTCACTAGTCTCTTAAATGTTTATCTATTAGATGACAGCTTTACATCAACTTGGTATTTCATGCACAAATGGACAATCAAAAGAAAATGTCTCTTATGTGAGGATTAAAAGGTTAGAATCTAGTGAAATTAGTGATAATTATTAATCAAATTACAGCAACACTAAAGCTCATAATCCAAATCACCAAATTTCTATAAAAGATCTATGACAATACCAACACCAAAATCTATAGACACATTTCTGCCTATACATCAGGTGTTAAGTTCAATAGTATGGTTACAGTGAATTGTCATCATCCAAAGTTTAGATGGACATTTCTTTTTCCTCCACCTTTCAGTGTCTGAGGGTTATCTTCTGTCCTGTAATCACAAATGGGATCACTTTCCTTCCCATGTGATCTAGGGGGTTAGTCATGTCGTGATTAATTCTATTTAATTTGTTATGCTTTCTCTATATATGGTATAACTTTTTTTTTCTGTGGGGAGAGCTGCACAATTACGCAAAGCTAAGAAAATCTGAAGCTCAAATAAGTTACTTGATAATAACTAAAACAAACTCACAACCACAGGATTGACAACAGACCTGACCACTGAGTAGTATTGCTGTTCTTAGTAGAGAGAGTCTAGAGTCACATCTTGAAGGCAAATCTCTGAACAAAGCAGAAAGACATGTAACTAAGCAGCAGTCTACAGCACATAATTCATATTTTGCTCTTGTATTAATCTAGCTATTACTCAATATACTGTGGTACTATAAAGCTTTTCAGACTTAGGAAGAAATTATGAAAGATGTGATGCACTTCCATTTATTATAGCTTATGAGTTTCAGTACCAATAGTATCAACACTTCAAGTTTTGTATATGATCTTCTATAGTATAGAGTTTTCTATAATGTATAGTGTTGATAGGATGAGAGCTATAGGATGACAGCTGTTGATATTGAAAAACATTAATTCAAACCGTGTAAAACACAGTGGCATTTAAATGTGATTGGGGTGAAATGGTATGGTGAAAGCTGGTGTAAGTGTAACGTTGCTTTATAGCTTTCTAGATGGGCTTTGCAAGTCTTAACAGCTTCTTTTTTAAAATTCCAATATGAAATCCCGGCTTCCTTAATTAAAGAGGTGTTTTGCAGTTGGCCTGAATAGGAACAGATTTTTTATTCATTTAGATTTCTTAATCATCTTTAGCTTGTGGTCATATGTGCATGAAAACAATGCTGTGAAAAATAAACAATTATGTATTTGAAGGTGACAATTCTAGGAGTGACACAAGTCTTTTGGAGGGGCAACTATTAATATCTTCCGAGTTATCATGGTAGAGAGACTGTGTAGTAAAGAGAATGCAGGTAAAGTACCTCTGAAGCTCATAAGTTGTTTGTTAGAAACTCAGTCATCTCAATGGACATCAGAATCAACTTTCTCTTCTGATCAAATTGTCACATAATTGGAGAAACAGTCTTCCCATCCCTGGGTGGAGATCATTCCAATACTGTAACGTTAGAGTAATTTCAGAACTTCTGTGTTTTTCCAGCCCAGTCAAATATTTTGATTTCTTCCCCATTTAAAGGGAACCTGATAACAAGGAATAGCATGGTCTGGGATGTGATCTTACAAGGAGGCAAAGTCCAAATCTGCTTTGAAAGACCTGTAGACATATTACTGAAAGAATGGATAACTTCTGCTTCTCAGGTAGATTGGGTAACAGGAAAATGATCACAGACCAATGCAGTTCCCAACCAGAACTTGTATCAAACTGGTTCTGAGCATTAGCAGAACAGGCAGGTGGTAGCCTGCACCCAGCTGTGTAGACTGTTTCTGGAGCAGGAAAGCTGTGTCTAACCTGAGCTTATTAAAATTGCAATTATTTCTACCTATAATTCATGGACACTCACGGAAAAGCTCAGAGTTTAGAAAATCAGATCAGCTAAGCACTCATTGTAGATTTGTTTGTTTTGGTTTTTTTTTTGTCTTTAGGTTTACTACTGGAAAGTGCAGAGTCTATCCAGAAGGAGTAGACGACATGTAGAAAAAAAGATCTTGACTTTCAGGGGAAACAAGACTTTTGGAATGTTACCAGGGCTGGAGCCTTATAGTTCTTACAAGCTGAATGTTAGAGTTGTTAATGGTAAAGGAGAAGGACCAGCAAGCCCAGACAAAGTATTTAACACCCCTGAAGGAGGTATGAAATGAAAAACCTAGATATTAAACTTAAATGGGGTTTACTTGGACTTCATAAAATAATAATCTGTCTCAATACGGTAATATTCTTAAGAATTAATAATTCATGACCTGTTTTAAACTAATCTACTTTGTATTTACTCTATGTTCTTTTTAAAAGTTCCAAGCTCACCCTCCTTTCTGAAGATTACTAACCCAACACTGGACTCTCTGACTCTGGAGTGGGGTTCACCCACTCATCCAAATGGTGTTTTGACATCATATACACTGAAGTTTCAGCCAAGTAAGTTAAATATGAATATATTTTGGGGGTTGGACTTTTGATGTTTCAAGTCCTTTCCAACCTAAACCATTCCTTGATTCTGTGATACAGCTCTAACTTAGGCAATGTATCTACCAAATAATAATCCATCTCTGAAGAAAAAATGATGTTAAATTTATAATGTACAAAAGATATGATTGAATGGTAAATATCAAGTTAGAAAAAGACTGTATGTATGAATGTATTTTGATAATATATATGACTGTACTTGGAAAACTTTCCTTGCTGTAGTACAAGGTTAACATTCTTATTACTTTCATTACTTCAAACCATAATTCACAGAAAAATGGAGGTGGAGGTCCTACATATAAGTGGCATCCAAGTTAGATACAAAATATTACTATTTACAAGTTCTATATTCTACCTTCAGAGAGAATGTCATTAGAAGTAAATCAAAGTATGTCCAATTATATTGTTGTCTGCTTTTCCAATTTTCATGGTATTAGAATCTTAAAAAGAAAAATTTATAAATGTGTCATTTACTCAGCTTAGAGCTATTAAATCACTTCTTTTGGATCTTAGGTGCTTACTGAGCCCAGAAGTTTCTTAGCAGTGGCACTGGAAAGTGTTTCATATGCATGGAACAGATAAAAGAAGTTTACTTTCTTCCACTTACCAAATTTCACTGTTTGGCATTAGACACAAGTAGCTTCAATGTTTTCTTTTCCTAAGCATACTCAACTTAGAGTTTCAGAATTTTTCAATGGTCAGGACTTTCAAATCTGCATAAATTCAGATGATTTGAATGGAACTCATTTGCCTTGAATTTAGAGATTTATGAGAATGAAACTTGATTTTCAGACTTGCTGGTGTTTCCTATCTCCCAGTTGGATTTTGGCACCTTTACACAGAGATTACTTTCTTTTGAAAGTGTAGATGCAGCAGGCAAGCAAAAAAACCCGAAAACTTTTTAAACACAATGACAGTGTATGCGAGTTTCCTAATTTTTTTGTTTTTCTTTTTTTTTTTTTGTAACAACAGTCAACAATACACATGAGTTGGGTCCCTTGGTAGAGATAAGAATTCCTGCCAACGAGAGCAGCTTGATATTAAAAAATTTAAATTACAGCACCCGGTACAAGTTTTACTTTAACGCACAAACTTCAGTTGGATCAGGAAATCAGATAACTGAGGAAGCAGTAACAATTATGGATGAAGGTAAGATGGGTATGTATAAGGAAAGTCCATTGAGTTTAAAAACCATTACAGATTAAACATCTGTATCTTTTAAAGAAAACACATGTAAAGGTTTTCTGCTGTAGTGGGAGCCCCCAAAGAGGTATAAAGCCTCTTCTTTTAATATCAACTCACAAGCTGCAAGACAGAAATTGGCCTTTCTGGGCTTCAAGTTCCATGTAACTTTACATTTTTAGTGGTCTTTGTCTGTTCAGCTGTTCTGCATCATTGACCAGCTTTGGGCACAGAGAAAAATACTGGAATGGTGAAGGTTTTTGACTGGAGGAAGTTATTTCTTTTTTGTACTATGCAACAGCTTCTGTGAAATCTAAATTGCTTTCACAGAACTGGCAAAAAACTGTAAAACTGTTGAAATAAATTTGTCATCTATGGCCCTAAGTAACTGTATAGTGTTTAAAACTACCAAATATATTGTTAAATCCTGTCACCATTGACTTTTATTTTTGTAGCTATTCTAGAGCTTTGTTAAAGTTATTTTTAAATTAAATATGGATGCTTAACAAAGTAAGAATAATTTAAAGCAAACAGAAAATTTGGAACTTTTAAAATAATTTTGATCATCTTAATAAGTCTATTTTGGGACCATGTTTTCACTTATTTTTATGCTCAGTAAAATTATGGTTTATTGGAATTGCCGTAGATGAGTGGCTACTCAATGCAGTTTCTCTGACAGGGTATTAAGTTTGCATGTGAACTGCATTTATTTTAAATCTCGCACCCTAACAAGCATGAACAATAAAATTTTGTATGTACAAAATGCATGTACATTAATTTTGTCTTGTAGTAGTCTGTCAGGGTTCAGCATAAGTGGATTGTTTCTAATTTATTTTAATTAATACATTTTATCTAGTCTGCATGCTTTTTGTCGTGAAATTATATATGTATGTTTCCTTTGGTGTTGTATCTAATTATATAGTGTTCCTATTCTTGTTTTTCTCCATCAAAGCTGGTATTCTCCGTCCTGCTGTAGGTGCAGGCAAAGGTAAAATGAAACTGCATGATTTATTAATGTGTGGATTTTGCAGTGTTGCAAATGGGGAAATTGCAGTGGTAAGGACAGAAAATCTTGGACTATGCATTTCTGTACAAAATATAATCAGTGCTGGACAAAAACAGTTGTGGGGGTTTTTTGTTTGGGTTTGTTGGAGATTTTTTAAAGGAATCCAGAATGGTTATTAATACCTTTCATCTGTTTATTTTGCCACAGAGTTCCAGGGGAATTCATTAGCTTTGCTTCAGCAAAGTCTAATTATTTCTGAACATTCAACAGATGTATTTCACTCTCATAAATATTCAGGATCCAGGTGCACTAGTACTGATTAGCTGGAGTAGAAGAAACATCACTTTTCCAAAAGAGATTCATTTAATGCTTGTGCCATGTGCATTTTTTGTTTTAAAAAACTATCTGCAATCTTGTTCTCACTGTGGATTACTGCTACCCACTTGAACACATTTCCTTCATTTGCAAGCCAACTGTGCATAGGAGACAGATGACTGACAATACCCTCTGTCTGCTTCTCAGTTTGAGTATCAGATTGAATATACAGGCAAATGTCTTCCAACTGTTTTAGGTTCTCAGATCTTTTGAGTGTGTACTTGAGGATATTTCAGTGAGTAGAACCTAGTATCATCTTTACTCATGTATTTGGTAATATTTAGTTCTTTATGATGCAGTTTTCCACACAGTTTTAATGAATTTTGGTACCTTCATTGTCAGAAGCAAAGGTTGACCTGAGGTAGCTCAAACTCAGGAATGTCTCTCTATACAGAAGTGTCATTCGATGACAGAGGTGTCATTAACACTAATGAACACCTGTGCTTCAGATTCTCTGACCATAAACATCACAAGTCAAAATCTGTATATGAAGTATCCACCATTTTTATAAACTTGGAAGAGACAGCATAAATTGTTCTACATATCTTTTTGCTTGATTATCAGGTGTTGTGAATGATAGCAGCCATAAGAAAGTCTGGTATAAATGGGACAATATATAAATATATATATATGCCTGCATTTGGGCCCATATAGTATACATTTTTATATGTATATATAAGTGTATTCTGATATCAGATGTATCCTTATCATTCTGGTAAGTGTGTGAAGTTGTGAAATTATTTCAATGACTTTTTTACTATTTTAGTCTAGTCGTAGCTGAGAAGTCAGCACAGATTGGAACAATCAATCTGGCTTTAGTCCTGGACATGTACAGCAGAAATGTAAATTAAGTTCTCATTATTTATAGCTGACTCTAAAAACTCATGCAAGGAAAAATGGGTTCTCTGTGTGAAACTGAGGTCTAATTATAGCTGTATGTGGCTATCAGAAAGCATCCTACAAATAAGATCCACTGGAGCAGCTCACATTTCAGAGCTGTCATCTCAGATTCTCTGAAAACAAAGCAGATGTCTTTGTTTGGTTTCATGTTGTTTATGGTTTCAAAGTTTTCACATATTCCTGTAGCATATAGCTCTTGCAATTGCAAAGAAGACTTTGGACCTGCAAACAGCACGGAGCTAAATCCATGACATCTGTTAGGACATCTGAGTTGCTGCAGGTCTGAGATGAATGTTCTCAGTGGTTACTACATTACCCTGTTAACTGCTTTGCTACTCATCAGGGACCACGAGTAAGGAAAAGGAGGATCATATTATCAAGCTCAAGCACCAAATTAGTTGGTCTCATGAGTGGGTGGATTTGCAAGATAGAAATGCTCAGCCCACTCAAAAAGTAGCTGTACCCAGCAGTGAACTTTCCTTTCTCTATTAAGTACAGTAGGGCCTGTATGTGTATACAGTTCTTATTAATTTAGACCCAAAGCCAGAACAAATTTAGATATTCCCAAGATTTTTTTGGTCTATCAAAAACATATCAGGTTTTTAATTTTGAAGGGCAGAACTTAGCAAGAAAATGTAATTATCCTTTTTTTTTCAATTTGAGCACACTGATCCTGGAATTTAAGCAGACAGTAGGTCCCAGATTCAGCCAGCCTAAACTGCTGAACTGAAATTTCTGCATTCGACGTTTTCTACTGGACAGCTGCCTGGGCCTGCAGCTTGGCCAATCACATACATTAGACACGTGGTCCTGGAGGAATTAAAATAATTTAAACCTTAGTGAGCTGTGCCACTTGGGAAATATTTCACTTTTCAGAGTAAAACTATAAATTAAAGTGCAGAGGGATATATTGCTATGGTAAATGTAAGGATCTTAATAGATTAAATATTTTTACTATTATTTTTAATAGATTAAATATTTTATTTCACAAGCCTACATGAGTAAATCATGAGATGTTATTTACTAGATGAAAAAGCTATTCTATTATAGTTGATATTCCTATTTGACTTGCATTGTCATTTTTCCTTTCTAATACTGTGATGTTATGAATTACTTAAAATTTATCAAATTAATGGTACTACAAAGAAAAAATAAAGTTTTTCTTAGCAACCTATATTGTAAAGGTGTCTGAAAAGTTCGTATGTAAAACAGAATTTATTATATCTCATGTTAGATATTAAGTATGCCCTGGTATTGCCATTTATATATTGGCATCTAACTACAGGCATGAGGTAACAGAGGTGTGAGAAAAATGAGGGAATAACACAATCACATCTAAAAAAACTATAGTAGCAGCTGGAAAGTGACTCAGGTGATCACAGAAGTCAAGTCTTTTATGTCCTTTTCCATTAGAAGTTTTAAATAACTGCCCTATAGAGGAAGAAAGAGAATTCCAATTTGACCAGTGGTAGAAAGTTGCTGGTTAAAAGAACTAGTCATAGGGATGCATGTTTGTTGTAAGCTGAAGTACAGGGAGTCATGGCATGGCATGTCAGCCTCATTTCACAAGCCTCCTCATTTCACTTTTTAGTTTCTTTTTGATTTAGTCAACACTTATATTTGAAATCAAGGTCTTGTAATCTGCATGCATGCAGACACTGTTAACTGGTAGCCTTGAAATGCAACTAAAATAAATATGTGAGATCACAGTAACCTTTAATTGTAACTAGTGCCTCCTGTCACTGGTACTCAATTTGGTCTGTCTTCTTCATGTGAACTTCACATCTCAAATAGTACTCCCTTTTGTTACAAGGAAGAAAAGAAGTAGTCTGTCCTCCGGGTTTAAAACTATTCTTTTGAGGTTTTTGGCTGAATCCCAGTATGTAACTCCTCACCATAAGCTAGAAATCAGTCTCAACTGAGTTTGTATCTCTGATCTCTTTGTAGAAAATCATCTCAATTTTCTTTGTTCTGTACAAAATGCAGTTCTTTAAATAATTTTCTCTGCCCACTATCTGTTTTCCCTCCCTCTTTAATCATTTCACATAATGTCTCCATGTCTTTTGCTAACAATTTCAATCTGCTTTTACAGTCAAGTTAAGTGTAGTATTTTTGTATTGCTCCTTCAGCCACTTTCCCCCTGTGGACTTCTCCATTATGTACGTGTGTGATTCTTTCAGTACAGCCTGCTATGCAGAACCACTGCTTTGTCCTCTTTTAAGTTCACTGGGAACAATGCTGATGCTTTGCAAGCTAGACTAGAGAAAATGATTATTATGACTGTTCGAAAATTCCTGCAAATACGTTTTGCTTTGTAGGTATCATGCCAAATGCTCATCAGTGACAACATTTTTTGCATTGCTTTTTTGGCTTCTGTATTTCTTACACTACAGAAATGCTCTTGCAATTGACCTAAATAATCACAGAAGTGACTACTGCCCATTTGTCACTGCCAGAAATGGAACTCACTCCTACTGTTATACTAAAGCTTGAATTTCACACTATGAATGTTAAAAAGGCAAAGGAAAATAAACCACTTTTCTGTGTCTGACAGGCTCTGTCAGAATCTGTCACCTTTGTCCTTCACTTTTTCTTGTGCGGGTGTGGTTTTTTTCCTTTAAATTGACTTTTCTCTTCATATATAAATTTTAACTTAATTTTCTATGACATATTGTTTTGTGGGGTTTTCTTTCCCACTTGACACTAGTCTTCAAATTTGTGCTTGGCATTCACCCAGCATTTTTTCCGGAATATCAGGTGAATTCCATGAAAATTCCTAAACTTTAGTCACTTCGGGGATTATGTAATTTATTGTTCTTCTGGACTACATCTTGAGAAGGAGTACCTATTTCATTGTTAATATACCTTCCAATCTCATATCTTATCTTATTAAATTCTATTGATTTTGCCGCCCAGCTATAACTGTTATTTGTAGGAACTGCTTTCTTGAAAGATTGAAAAATTAAATAAAACTCTACCAAAAAACTTCAGTAAAAAAGCACTGGAATTAATTTGAAAATAAAGGAAAATTTTACTTCGAGCCTAGGCTTCTCTCAAAAATTGGCAAATGCTTTTATATGATGCTACAGGAATGAAACAATACTCAGAAGTGCCAGCTAAGTTTTGCATTCTATTGAGAATGGAATGAAAAAGCTTAATTTGCCAGAGGTAGCTAAATAGAGTGGGTCTGTATAAAACCTGTAACTTATTAACAGTCTATTCCCATGGTTTTTAGAGTGATGCTTTTGCAGCATTTTTGGGGCATGGTTGCAGATGAGAGAGCACAGTGCTCTGCTCTCCAGGACAAAGTTTTCTGCCCATCCCTCTTCTCCCCCTTTTTCCCAACTAGCACTTGCTCACACTGGGAGCTTCTGCTAGCTGACAATTACACATTTGCCATTTGTCAACAGTATTGGGAAACACTGAAGAACTGAGAGGTTAATTATAATTAGAGTGTGGTGACTGAGAAGACAAAGAGTCTGGGTGGATTGACTACAAGCTTTAAATGTCTTAACCAATTCACCTCCAGGCTTTCATCACCTCAGGCTCCATCAGCCATCTTTTATGCTCCTCTGTGTGTAGTCATGTTGCAAATATGGCACGTTTAACAGACTTAAGTAAAACTTGGCAGGCCTGATGACAAATGAGATCAAGCAATAGTGCAAAAGAGGAGAATTGCAAAAATAATAATTTTGTAAAGAAACATGCTACTATTTAATGGTGCGCCGTATTCAATGGTTAAAATACACAGAATTTAAATCTGACCAAATACTAAATATGAGTTAATCTTACAAACAGCTATTGATAGGAATCAGATATGAGTACCTCTGATAAATATAAGCATAAATCAGTCACTTGAGCGGATTTAGAAACTAATATACCAAGGAAATTAGAGTAACTTTCAGAGCAAACTTGATTGTTATATGCAATCATATGAACAGAAAGATTTGTACCAGATATTTTAACCTAGCAGGCCACTCTTTAATGAGAGAAGAAACTGGAAATTGGAGATGGAAGAATATGCCACGAGATAAGATAGAGTGATTATTGAATTTGCTTAGTAGTTCAGAAGCTCTCCTGTGAGAGACTCTGGAGTCTTTCACAGAAGATGAGACAGCTTCCTTCTTCCCCAGGTGCTCAGGCATAAGGGAGAAGTTTAGGGGTAATTCTGTGGCATCTGCTTGCAGGAGTACCAAACAGATTATTGCTAACAGTTTTTTTCTGTCTTTAATATTGTGACATATCTCAGTCATAAGGTTGGGCTGATAATTACGTATCTTCCATGGAAGACCAAAATCCAGGATAACATGGCTATGAGAAAATACAATTTAATGAAACAAAACAAAGTCATATTTCAAATACAAACCACTTGTTTTCTTGGCACAGCAAAAATGCTGAGGTGGTTATTGAAACAAACACCTGTTCCTATGTGTAAATCAGGGAGGAAGTTTATACATCCTCTCTGCAATCTCAGACCCTGTACCCTCCTAAATTTAGACACTGCTTTTCTTTCCTCTTTCTACCTCCAAGTGGCACAAAGAAACAGAATCTAATCCCCTTTCATTACCGTAGTGTATATGGTTACATGCTAGATTTCCCATAGACAGCTCTGGCTTTGGTATTTCCTAGGGAGGTTGTTGTGGGAATTTTTGGTTTTTGATTGATTGTTTTTTTAATCTAGTGCTTTCTCAGTTATTTTGTTCAGGTGATTTTAACAAGAAATAAATGTATTCTTTAATATTTAAATAATCCTTATTATTTTGGTTGGTGAAAGAAATTATATATAAGCACAACTTAGCTACGAAAACATTAGATGGGGGAGCAGTACAGATTGAATTGTTGAATGAGTACTACTGGAACAGAGTTAAGAAGAAATATCTGATGCAAATATGGGGATAAAAAATTTATTTTGTAAAACGTAATAATCAGAATACATGATCAGAAGAACTGATGAAATTAGGGATGTGAAATTTGCCTAAGTTAGGTATTTTTAAAAATAATCACAAACTATCATTTTCTAGACATAGTACTCATATAATTTCGTCTGTTCTAGGGGCCCAAGTAGGCCATTTTCTCTGCGCATATAACTTTGAACTTCTCCCAGTTGGCCATATGGACAAAGCCAGCCTGTTAGAAGAATAATAATTAGAAGAAAATAATTTAAGTGGATAGATAAATTCTGTGCAGCTCCTCTTGCCTCGATAACAGGCTTTTGCTCATTTCATTTTCTTCTGTAGATGAAGCCATTGGAATTCTGTCGTTTGTCTTTACTGAGACTAGATTTTTACCTCTGATGTTTTATGGTCCTTTGGGAAGTGTTATTAATGTTCCTAATAGAAATATTTTAGTAGGATAGAAAGGTCAGTGGCAAAGTGAGGCATTTTCAGTTAAAACGAATTTCATACCTTTGAAGAGCATCCTCTTTGTATCTGCCCTATTGCAGCATTAGAACTATTAAAATCTATTTTTTCATTAGTCAAGCAGAGACACTGAGTATATGTCCATTTCTAACAAGCATTGCTGGAGCTAAGGTATGAGCAAAGAGCTAAGGTATGGGCACAGAGCTAAGGTATGGGCACAGAAGTGGCTAATTTCAAAATGCTGAAGAGAGCAGCTCTTCTCTTCAGAGATGTGGGCATTTTGCATATCTGTGAAAAGTTCTGTTGTCTGACCTGAATGGCAGCAGTAAGACACAGTGCCTTACAATGGGCAGTTCCTTGCATTCTGGTGATTCGTGTCTTTCACACCAGAGTATTTGGATATTGGCTTTCCAATATCTGATGCCTAGTTTTCCAGTGTCTAAAGGGGCCATGAATGCATAATATTAACAAAAGCTGATTTTGGGGATGTTCTGTGAAAGTAAAGCTGCCAGTTCATACACACTTCAGTTTGTTTTCAAATACATACGTATCACTTAGCTGTTTCATATTTTAACAAGTAAAACTAATTGAATCCTGCATGATCTTAGAATGTGCATGTGTTATTTATTTAACAGGTAAGTTTTACTGTATTAGTTAATTGCTACTTTTTGATGCAAAGTGTTTTTACTCTTTATTTTTTTCTTTCCTACTATCTCTGATGGTGAAGGATATTCTGAAATCCTTTTTGCAACTTCCCCAGTCATGCACACTGTCCGTCCAACATTCTATAAGGGTATTGTCTTCCTTTTTTATCACTGTCAATGCAATAGAGCCAAAATCCTATAAGGGCTTGCACTTGGGGCATTTGCAGTCCATTCAGTGCCACATGCCATAAAGGGAGGAGTGTCTCACCTTCATACCTCCTTTCTGTCCTTCCATTTCCCATTTCCCTGACAATGTTCTCACTTTCCAGCTGTCTGCATTTTACTTCCTGATAAATAGATATACTGTTTTTCAGAATTTTGGCAGCTAGGTGCTTTTTAAGTATCTGTCAGTTTTTGTGGTATAGAACATGCTCAGTAAAGTACATAGATTTTACTTTATAATTTCTTTGTATAGTAACTGCCTGGGATTAAATTTCAAAATACAGTACTTTTGTCACTAATTTCCAGTAATGGAACCAATAAAAAATGTGCTATACTTTCCCTCTATATGGTCTAAATTAACATAGTAACTTCTTTTATTTTTTTTTTAAGTATGAAGTCACAACTGCATATTCTGCTTTGTTTTTCTATTGTGTATATAGTTCAACCACTTTATCCAAGGATCAGAAATGTTACAACAGCTGCTGCTGAGACCTATGCCAATATCAGTTGGGAGTATGAGGGACCAGATCATGCGAACTTTTATGTTGAATATGGTGTAGCAGGCAGTAAGAAGTCATTTCATTAAATTCTGCTAAAGTTTTGAGATGTACTTTTGAAGATATTTTTATAGTAAATGGGGTCTTAAATTAACACCCAGTGTTAATGATAGTTCTAAAACATCTTAAATTGTTTTTTTAATTTGATTGGGAAGATCAAATAATTTTCATTTTAATAAACATCAATGTTTAGTGGGTTTTTGATGAATAGATAGAATATGAACCTTTGTTCCTTTGTATTATTTTATAAATTCTTTTGAACCTGCACTTCTAAAAACATAGTTTGCATGAAGTTCTTTATCATTAACTGATTATATGTGTAAAAATACGATTACTTGCATTAAAATAGGATATAAAGATTTTCCTAAATTATGCCCAATTCAGGAAAGAAAAAAGATTAAATAAGGTATACGTTGTTTAATTAAACCTTAAAATAAGATAAAAATCAATTTATGTACTCTTATTACCTAAAACTAGGCTTAAAACTTTGATAATACTGGTAATAATTAAAACAAAGTTAGCTAATAAAAGCAAGATACTTCTTTTCAAACACCCTGTCTTTCTAAAGTTATGACTAAAGGTGACTAATCTGAAAATTGGAAAAGAAATCTATTTTTCTGGATATTGGCCAAAGAAATAGCTGAGACTGTCCTAGAAAAAAGACATGAGAGAGATTCAGATTTTGAAGCAGAGCTTCTTGACCAAAATAAATATTGACTGAAACTGCAAAAGTCATTTAATTAAATGACTTAAATCTATTTTAATGTATCTCATAATTATAAGTTCAATAAACATTTTAAAGATAAATTACATTTATATTTCTCTAGTACAATGGAACAAATGTTTAAAATAGTTTCATAATTACTGTACAACGTATTCTTCAATATGTTGCATGCAATTTATTACTCATAAGTTTATAAAATTTTATTATTTTTGAGAGAATAGCTATTTTTCTCAGATGCTCCATAGTTTAGTCAAGTAACTGTCAGTAGTATTTTGTCTAGAAACTTTCAGTAATACAGAGCAAACTAAAATTCCAATATGTTGTTTTCCTAAAATTTTTATAGGCAAAGAAGATTGGAAAAAGGAAATTGTAAATGGTTCTCGAAGCTTCTTTGTCTTAAAGGGTTTAACACCAGGAACAGCATATAAAGTCCGGGTTGGTGCTGAGGGCCTGTCTGGTTTTAGGAGTTCAGAGGATGTGTTTGAGACAGGTCCAGGTGAGGCACACTGTACCAATTCTATATCATAGTCAGAATCGTGGTAGACCAACTGCTGAAATGCTGAACTGCTTCTAGCCAAGAGATGTTGCAGCTAGAATCTTTGCATGTTCCTTTTATAGAGCAATATTAAGCTATTTTTTAAACTCCTAAATAATGCCAGTACATTTACATGTAGCTTATGAGTGTTTCCATCCTTTCAATTCACTCTACTTGACTGATGTTTGTACTAGGGCCAAGATAATGCTCTGCTCACACTCCATCTGTGTGCTGTGCACTGAAGATGACCTATTTCTTGTATTTCCAATTAGTATAATTAGATGGCTGTATTTAAATAATGTCTCTTTTTATAGAGCTAAAATATTTGCATCATCAGAAAGTGCAGATTCAATTTGATGTCTCATGTGATCTATTTATACCACTGTTCAGAGATTCCTACTTGTAACCCTCTCTTTTCCTGCCATACACTAGTTTTATATGGGTTTTGATGTCACACACATATCCTGGGAATCAGTAAGGCTGTTTAAGTTCCTTATGTTCATATTGCAGTCCTGTTTCTTCGTTAGCACATCTGCAATGCCTGCTGATTCCACTCTGGGAAAGTTTTTTGATGCTATGCTGAATATGTTGTTGCCATCACACGCCATCATCATGTTCTTGGTCAGCTGTTACTATTTTTGTCTTTGCTGGCCACTTCTGCTCATTCCAAGCATTTTGGGTGGTGCATAGTTATACAGCAGTAGCTCCACCAAGTCCAGAGTGTTATGTTATAAGAAAGTAATTTAAGTATGAAAATACACTTGAACATTGAGTTATAATTATCAGGCAATAACATAGATAATGGGCATGCCAGCTTGAAAGTGAGCGCTTTCTAAAATCATCATTTATGTGCTTTGTTCCATTCTGTTCCCAGTTTATTATGTTGCAGGAAGGTTTGAAAATGTGCTAAATAACAGCACCAGGCAAATACGTATGGCCTGAACACAGAGCCAGAAACAGTTAGTGGTACAAAAGCTTACCTGTGAAATGTTATGCAGATACACATCTGAAGCCTAAAGGAGCAGTAAACAAGGATCAAGACTGGATTATAATTCAAAACAAGCTGCATAGAAACCTTCCCAAAAGTGTCTTTCTGCATAAAAAGTACTGAGCCAGTAGATGAGGATTCCTGTCCTTGAGGATTCCATGCCCTTGGGTAGTTATGGAAGAACAGACTTTAGACACTTTTTTCTGCTTCTTGATAATGGAAAGTTCCAATGTTCAGCATGAAATTATAAACATGGCCTATTTATTACAGAAAAATCTTGTGTCACCCTGTCTTCAGCTTAGGTCAAAGCTTTTAAACACTGCAAAAAGATGGAATGAACAAAGAGGCAAACACTGGAATACGTCCTTAATTAAGAATGAAACTTTGATATTTCAAATATGAGGCTTTTCCCACTGTTTTGTTGGGTTTTTTTCTTTTTTTTTTTTTTGGACAAGCATTCCTTATAGAGTGTCTTCACAGTGTGTGGGTTTATTTTTTGGGTATTCTGGGTCCAGTGTTCTGCATTGACTCCTGCGTTAGGGATTCACCAGGACGCAAGGTTTTTCTGCCTGAGGGAAATAATTTGCTTAGTGTAGGCAGGAAATGTGCCATTTTTAAAGATGCACAGAGATCTAGAAACCATTCCTACTGGAAATACAGTAAGTTAATGCAGGAAGCTGCATAGATAAGTTTTCATCTTCCCATCTATCTTGCATATCTATATGCATGAGCTGTTTGGTTTGATGCTCTTTCTTACTACATTTGAATGTGAATACTGCTTTTGCATTTTGTTACAGTATGTATTATACAGCATTTAATGCCTTATTATGAATGCAGATGCACAAAACTCAAAATAATTTTAACCTTAATATGAAAACAAAGTTTTATTTTCATTTGTAGTTAAGAGGACGATTCCCTTTGTGATTTTCTTAAATTGCCACTTTTTAATACTTATAGATATATAAGTATATTTATATGTGGCATAAAGAGTATAAATATTTAGGTATATTGACAATATATTTATATGACATGTAGAGACTTTTATGCAAAAATTGTTTAAATTCTTGTGCATATAAGAGTCAGTTTCTAAAATATCAGAAAACATAAACAAGGGCTGAGAAATCTTCTGATTTTATCTCCACAATTACCAGACGCATTAACTCATTGAATTATTTAAATGAAAATCAAGTCATAGCTTTGCCCAGTAAGACCAAAAATAAGCATTTAAAGAAAGAATTAATTTTAGCATAGTACCTCTACAGTGGAATACACACTGGTGTTCTGTATGGAATGGACTGGAGATACTGTATCCAGACATTAGAAGTATTTTGCGTTTTCATAGAATCCCTCAGGAATATGAGACCACTGACAGCTGCTTTTCCAAGCTACCTGTCTCACACTCCTTCTTAACTAGAAAATAACACTGAGATATTAGCTTCAATTCAGTCTATTGAGCAGCTTTTCATAGATTTTCATTCTCTTGGTTTTTGGGTCTGGAGAAGAAGCTGAAGAATGAATAGTGATAGGTCTGGATGGATGCTCATCTTCCTCCACTTCATATTTTCTTCTGTTTGGAGCAGGAATCCCTAACTCCTCTCACTCTTCTCACTTTCTCCCAGCAGCAAATCCTAAGTCAAGTTGCCTGTAGTGTCTTTTCAACAGTGGAGTAGAAAATAAGCTTCACCAGAATAATCCTCCTACTATGTTGGAGACCAGTAGATCCAGACCCTAGACCACATAGATAATTCCTTATTAGTGCCTGTAGTATTTTCTTTGTAGTTTGCTTATTATTTACATTCTCTTTCAGCTAGAGTCAGCATTTGGAGAGAAATAGTGCCAAGGAAAGGCTTCCCAGTTGCACCATGTTAAGTCCTTGCTAATGCTAAATCATGGCAATCATGATAAATTAATTATAGGATGAGGTATGGGTTTGAGGAAAGAAAGAAAACCTGATGCTTAATAAGGTTTTAAAGGATACTTCACTGTTGATTTTTAGCTGAAATTGAATGTTAGGGCCCTTGAATGACCCATCCTTTTCCCCATTTCAGAAAGATGGGAATGCATTAGCTAATCAGTATTGGCTTTTTATTCATTTTGAGAAGGCAGTTGACATGTTTGTTTAAATTATAATTTGTAACTTCATTTCAGTAGTTTAATTATTTCAAAATGATTGAGAGTAGTTCTGAGGTTTGTGGAAAGCAATGTAATATGTGTGTAGATTTTGCAAAGTAGTTGCTAAGCTTAAATGTTAGCAGATTTCTTATGTACTGAAAAGTAACTTCTATGCATAGGTACTTGGAAGTATTCTGAATAATGAAAAGACTCGAAATCCATAACCACCGTTTTTCTTAATGCTATCTATTTTTCACAATGAATGTTATTCTTTAATGAACATTACATTGGCTGTTATTTACCTGAATTAGCATAGCATTTAAATGCAGCAAACCATAATTTTTCTTTTTTTGTCTCTAGCAATGGCAAGCCGGCAGGTAGACATCGCTACTCAAGGATGGTTCATTGGTCTTATGTGTGCTGTTGCTCTTCTGATCTTGATTTTACTGATTGTTTGCTTCATAAGGAGGAATAAGGGTGGCAAGTATCCAGGTATGCTATTTCACCAGGATAGTAAAATTCATCTGTTAGTAGCCCATTAAGACAGATCTCAGGCTTACTGGAAAATTGCATTTGCTGCTTGTTTATTTTTACACTGTGTAGATGGCAAATCAGTCCTATCATTTAGGGGGCTTGATAGAAGCCATCTGCCTATTGGTAGAAAACCTGAATCTATTTCAGAGTAAGAGAAGGATCTTCTTCATTCCCGGAGGGTTGTATCAGTGCATGACCTCTCTAGAGAGGTTTGAGCTTTGTTTGGAACATCACCGCTAGGGTACATTCCACTTTCTGAAGTGCAATGCAGATGGGTTTAATCCACTAACATGAGCTGAATTAGAATTTATTTGGTCAGAAAGTCCAAATCGTAGCCACGGGTTATTTTAAAGTATGGGGAATGCATGTCACAGGACAAATCTCTTCATATGTTGTATTGTTTCGAATACCTTGAGTTCCTTCCCAGATTTGCATCATCATCAGCCTCTGCAGTTTTTCAGCTAAGTTTAAAATTACTATCCTTCAGTTAGGCTGGGGTTTTTTTTCTATAATTTTTTTCTTTCTAAGAGGAGGTGTAAAATAAGCACTTTTTTATAGTAGGTCTTGGAATGGCCAAGTATGTTTTACAATTTTTCATTAAAAATTGGAACTACACAATTTATGTCTTCTATCAAAACATGCATCCCTCCTGGTACACATATTACAAAAGGCATGTATGTATGTGGACATATAGGTATCATATATATATATATATCTTTCCCTGGTCTTATATTTCTTTCTATGGAGTTGCTCCATAGGCCAGAGCTCTGTTGAAATGGATGGTGAGAACCAGTTTGCACAGTACTGTCAGATAGGATCTCAGAACAGCTGTTGAGGATGAGTGGCTATGAATGAACTTCAAGTGGGCATCAAAAGATAATCTGATTTTTCATTCTTCTATCTACAATAGAAAGTACAGCTTCTAAATTTAATGTAAAATCTTAATTTTATGAAAAATTATTTTCTCCTAAGCTTTGGAAATAACATAAATGATTATTTAAAGTCAACTCAAACTTCTTGAAGTTCATACTGTTGATTTGGACATGAGAAACATGGATGCATTTAGAAAAGTACAAAAGAAAAGTCCACACTTTGTTTTACTTTCTCCTGCTTGTTTTGACCAGTGCACTTCTGGAAATTTAGTGTCAGGGAACACTAAGAACTTTAGCTCTTCATAGGGAAATCTGCTGGAATAGAATAGCAGATTGTTTTTATGAGAAAATCACTTTATAAAGTACAAGAATCATACTCTGCCCAATCTAACTGTTAGATTGTTTTACAGAGAGAACAAAGATTTGTAGTGACAGCAAAAATTAGGTAAGAAAAGTATCTGTTCCAACTGCCTATACCTATGAAGAAAACAGATGATTAAGGAACACAGTGTTACATAGAGTTGTATGACAGGCTGAATACATCATCTTAAGGTTTTTCCCTAATATTTGGATTTTTTCAAAGAGAAAACGAGATAACAGAGGATATGGAGAAAGTGATTCAGGTGACTGAAACAAGTGAAGTGATGAAACTGAAAAGAGTAGGGAGGATGTGGAGTGAACCACCATCTAGAGGAGGGTGAAACAGAGGTTTTGAGTGAAGGTGTAGAGAGGAGCTGGATGCTAAATTTGTCATTACTTTGTGGATCCTTGATATTCTGTCCTTTTTTGCTGGTCTTCAGAATTATTATTAGTTGTAATGTTTTTTCACACACAGATACACATGCATATACACACACGTAAATAAAGGTGGACCTGAGCTATTTATAAGATTTCCAGATTCACAATGTACTGGTGTTTATAGCAGTGACTTTGTATTTCTTGGGTCATTGCAAATGTACTGTTCCACAGGTAGTGACAAATGGAAAGCACTAAGATATGAAATCTATGAAAATTTGAGTTATGAACTGTTTTTCATCATAATTTTTGCATGTCATCTTGAGGATGCCTGTAGTTTGTAGAAAGTAATCAATTACTTCGGTATGAAATTATATCAGCCTGATATATCTCAAGGTGTAATTCATTATTGCAATTATGGACTTAGTAAACACTGTCAGGAATGATTCATATCCTCTTAAATAACGGTACATAAATCAGTGATGTACAAATAAAGTGTGGAAATTACCAGAGTAAAAGACAAGAGATTGTGTATTAGACTGTATAACTGTATCTGCTAGAATAGGGAAAGATACAAATAGATGCCAGAAAAACAGAAATGAAAAGGCAAAGGGAAGAACCATAAATATAATTCTTAAAGTCAGTACATTGTTTTTTCCTGCCAACACTCTTAACTTACAGGAATATATGTCATCTGTAAATATCTGACTCCTCAGGTGCTAGTGAGTTTCTGTGTCAATGTGCTATATTTATTATTTTATAGGGACAAGTTATATGCCTGGATTTTTTCCCATCAGTGAACAAGGATTAAACCTAAAACCAGAATGTGCAAGAGATACAATTTTGTACAATGCAGGTTCCAGTGTATATGGCTTTGCATTGGGTTTGATCATGTTGTAGAAAAGAAGAAATTAACAAATCATGCCTAGTTTTTTGAGAATTATTAATAATGGAAAAAAAAAAAAAGTAAAATTCTCTGGAGACTACCTGAAATTAAAGCAGAAAATGTACAAACCAACAGAGAATAAAAGTGAATCTGATTCAGTTTTATTGATCAGGATGAGAAGAATATGAAGAGAAAAATAGAAAACATTGTTAAGTAGAACTAAATAATTCAAATTTGATTAAACAATAACTGTATTAATAATCTAAGTAAATAAGTTATTTTAATAGGACTTTTAACAGTTTTCTCTCTTTAGTGCTAGAAATAAAAAAAAAAATCTGCTAATATGAAATTACATACAATCATACTTGAATTAAAACAAAATTCTATAACTAATTAACAGATATTTTTCTTCAAAATAAAAAAAAAAAGAAATGGCCTAAGGACCCATTTAAAAAAAAAATTCAAACCACATTCCTGCCAAATATGATCAGTTTGAGAAATTAAGGTCTTAGACTTTCTCATCTTGCAGTTTCATGATAAAAATTACTATTTCAAATATTTTAGTGAAGGAAAAGGAGGATGCACATGCTGATCCAGAAATACAACCTATGAAGGAAGACGATGGAACATTTGGTGAATACAGGTAAGCAGCTGACGTGATTTTTCATATTCGCTGTTCATGTCACACATGTATTGTATATAATATCACACTTATTAATTTAAAACTAACTTTCTTTTCCATGTCAAAGATTCTGTATCCAGTATTATTTAGAACTAAAAATAGCATTTCAACCACACCATTAGAAAAAATAAAAATATCTAAGTTTAGTATAAGCCATTTGCTAATGCAAGGTGAAAACTGGATTCAAACACAATTGTATGTGTTTGAAAGTCAAAGTGTGGAATCTTTATCTTTCAGATAGTTCAAATGCCAGATACAGTGTCCTTTCAGTTAGGGCACTATGTTAAGCAGTACAGTTTTTGAAAATAGCTGAAGCCTAATAAAGACAATCTGGTGTTAAGTTCACTGGAAAAAAATGTGTTTAAAATAGCTGCCAGTACTAACATCTAATCCAATAACAAAGAAGTGATGTTGCACACAGAGGTGAAGGAGTGCCCTACAAGAATGGAAATCTCCCTTTCATGTATTTCAGTACAAGATATATAGCAAGCAACTTCAAAGCATGCAACACAGCTCTTATTCATGACTCTCTTCCTTTATAGTAAATGCAGTCTACCAAATCTGGCATTACCAAAAGCATGCCTTGGCAAGACTATTCATAACAGCTGTGAATATAGCTTATTAAATAAGCACTTTATTTGGATTTTTATTAGTGCAAAAATATTATTTTCTAAAGAGGTCACTACGATTATATTTTATGTGGTGTTACAATAGATTTTATAGTGCGTTCCTCTGTCAAAAGCAGTGTAGAAGTCCTTTATTATTTACAAATGTACATAGAAAAAGCACGTTTTTTTCAAGAAGGATCTATTTTGTTGCCGTAGCTTCTTCATAGAAGGGAAAGGTACATCTTGATCTGACAGGACTAGATGTACAGTTCTGAATGCTAAGGAGCAGTTTCTGTTTATTCTTCTTTGATTAAAAGCAATATACTCCATTCTTAGGTAAATGAGTTCAGAATAGTATTTTATTTGAGCTGTAAGTGCATATGAATTACTAAATTCAACTGATAAAAAGGGAAATGTGCAGCAATCTTTGGAAGTAGAGTTTAAAAAGTACAGTATAAGTTTTCCCGGGAAGCCTAATTTGCATAATCCTTTATTGCTCCACTGGTTCTTGATACTTGTAACTTTCTGCAGCAGAAACTGACCTTTGTACAGAATTGTACAAATGATATGACCTCAATACATGTTTTCTCAGGCCTGGAATAAGTATTCAAGCTTGCTTTCATGTGTGACCTGTAGCAAGATTTGAATTTATGTCTTTAAGTGGCTTGAGTTGATCTAAGGAATGATCTAGAGCTTTATTAAATTATTTTATAATGCATTTGTTCACTCATGTCTGGTGAATATGAGCAGATGCCTGCCAAGCTTTCACACTTGTTCACATGAAATTCATTCTATGTACCCTGCAAAAACTCCTTTTAAAAATGTATTTCTGTGTAATTAGTCTATATTGGGCTTTCCTCTTTTTTCCTTAGAGACAGGGCAGGAGCAGCAACCAGTCAGATTACAGAAGATATCTTGTCACCCTCTCTGCAGCCCAGCATCACTGCAGTCACTCAGTTCCCAGTTTGTCTGCCTCACATGATGCGGTGCTTCTTTGAGGAAAAAGGGTATAGGGTTTCCCTTGGAATAAAATGTAATTTTTGAAAGATCTAGGAATTCGAGTATTTTGAACTTTTTTCATCACTTCAGGTCCATGTCTGCTTGGACAGGAAAGAAACTGGACAAGGAAAAGAAAAGAAAAGGTAGCTGTGCCAATTCTCGTGAAGCAGACCCTGTCTTTACCAAAGCAAAGTCTGTGAGATCTGACAGATCCAACTTCTTCAGAAGGTCAGGGGATCAATGCCCCAGCACCAGATCAGAGACCTCCTACACCAGGAGGAGGGCTAGGCAGTCTTCAGAGTTTACAAGGGTTAGTTCTTTCTCTGCTTCCCTCTGCCAAGAGGAGAAGAGGTCAGACGAATGGAAGTACAGGCATGGCTCTAGACATCATGCTTCTGAGCAACAGATAATGGGGTCGGAGGAGGGCTCAGATTCTCAGGCAGGACAGCCACCCCCTTTCCAGCAACCCCTCAGCTGCAACTCAATTGGTGGCTTACTGGCAAGGCAGCATTCTTCTCTCCAGCACTGGTGCAGCCGGACCCCAGACTACAGCTCAGATTCGGAAGACACTCAGAGCTCCTGCCACAGGAAGGTAAGACCTTCTACTTCTACTCACTTCTCTGAATCCGAAAAGAATTCACTAATGAAATCTGTAATCTTGCCTGAACTGGCCACTGTCTTAAAGGATGCTTTGACAGCAGCCAGACAAAGTATAACATCTGTGGCACAGGCTAGGACCCATTCAATAAAGCATCCCAGGGTACCAATTGCAGAAGTTCCACTGGTTCCTTTAGAAGCATCTGGGAGCAGTTCCCAGACTTCTGAGTCTGATCATATGGACAGTTTAAAAGATCAAACTGCTTCTGGGAAGGAGAAACCTGAGGCTGTCAAGGCCTTGGAGGTTGAATCAGCCCCTGAAGACGGGGAGGTGGCATCTGAGTCCTCTACAGAAGATCCAGAAGGACCAGATCCTCTGCGCAAATTTGACATGGAGAATCAGAATTACCTGTTTGAACACATAAAGACGGTGCTAATGCTAAAATCTTCCAAATCTGAATGTGCTTCAGAAGAACTGCTTATCCCATCTGAAGAAAGCAAGGTAAATAATGCACTTCCTATCCATTCAGCTGTGGAAGATCTTGTCTGCAGGATTTGGGGTAATCCTGAAGCCAAGCATGAAGCCCCATCAGTCCTACGTAAACTCTATCCTCTTCCCGTGGATAAAGCTGCTTTGTGGGGGACCTTGCCTGAGGTAGACAGAGCATTGGTTACTGGTGATTCTATGCTGTCAGTGCCTCATAATACAGATGCTCTCCTTAAAGATCCTACTGACAGAAAGATTGAAGAAGCAATCAAAAGATCTTTCAAGCTAGCTGCAGCCCAGCTTGGAGTATCTATCTACTGCACTTATGCTTCTAAAGCTTTACTAATATGGTTAGAGGAAGAACGAGCCAGATTCAGAAAGAAATGGGTCCCATCTGGTGCCATGCAGAGGAAACACAAGCTGTGTAAAATTGCAGCTAGTTTTATCCATGATGCAGCTGAGGATTTTCTTAGACTCACTGTTAAAAATGTGGCATGCCTCACTGTAGCCTGGAGAGCTCTATGGCTGCGTCCTTGGAGCTCATCACTAGATCTGAAATATAAACTGCTGTCTTTACCATACACAGGGGGCAAGCTGTTTGGTGAATCCTTAGTCCAGATCATGAAGGATTTCTCAGAACACAAGCACTCCTTACATCAGATGAAAAAAAAGAGCTCTGCGGAAAGCTCTTCCTGTTCTCCTCACAAGTGTCTGAGCTCCTTGCGTTCTCCTCCGAAGTTCAAAGGAGGGAAAGGAAAGTATAAGGTCTCACAATCATTTCATGCCAAGTACAAAAAGACATCTCACTTTCAGAGAGATACCAGACCATCTAGAGGAACTTTCTAAGAACACAGACTTGCTTCCTAGTTTCTCAGGAACTGAGAAGAGTGAAAGACATGGAAATGTTTCAATGTTTCTGGACAAATAAACCCAGTGCTTAGAAAATTAGTTGTTTCAAAATAAGATTTAAAGTATGAAGTTACTTAAATCTTAATGACTAATTAAAATATTCTAGAGAAATCATAGCTCTCAGTTTTAGGGAAGGGTTTTTTCACATTTCATTTCTAGACTTCCTAGTGGTCTTGGGATGGTTTGGGTTTGTTTGAAGTTTTGCACTCCTCAACTTCAACTAAGAGAGTACTTTCTGTGTGAGAGTTGGCTGGTCTGCAGGACCAGACAACATCAGATTTTTCTGCCCTATTGATCTTGTGAAGAAAGTCATGCTTTAGAAAATGCAGGTGTTTCAGGATCCATGGAATAATTGTGGATTCCTGTGACTGGATGGATGTGGATGGTGGTAAAAGGGAAAACAAAAGTTTGAGTTTTCCCAAGCTACTAGAAGGAAAACAGAAGGGAAAGAATTAATAACAAAGTTTAGCATCTGGTGTTGTGGACAGGATGAGTGTGTGAGGAACGTGATGTTTTGGTAAAAGCATGTTTACAAGAAGTGTAGCCTTCCTTGGACCAATGAGCTTATTCTATCTTTAGTTCAACGAACCAGTCCATAAAAATGTGTCTACTCCTGCAATAAATCACTTCTTCTGCTTACTAGATGAAGCCTGTGTTGCTGTATCTTTTCACCGCTCCCTAGCCTTACAGCAACAGATGGATTCCTTCATTTTTACATAATAAGGGAAAACAGTACCTCTGTAGCAATCTGCACTGCATTCTCAGTGGTTTTCTGAGTTGTAGAAGACTGAGAAAGTGAATTGTGGACAGTCAATGTCTACACCAAGAAACTGCAAGAAACAGAATAAGTACCACAGATGTGTGTTGAGGTCAGCCTAGGTGTATAAATAAGCCTAAATTTTCCTCCTGGTCCATAAATTGAGAGAAATGAGGAAGTTATGACAGTTACAGACTCATGGGTTCATGGGCAGGAATAGTGGAAGCAAGCAACTACAAGGGTAGGACAAAAGTCCAGTGGTCTGCAGAATGTTCTTAGGAAGATAGAACAGGACAAGGCAACTACAACTACAGTAGTAGGATTGCTAGTGTGGTAACACAGGATTTTTGCACATTTTGATGAATTATTTGGCCTCCTTTCTTCAATATTTTGACACATAGTATTTTTCCAAAAATTCTAGGATATGCTGTGAGACACTGTGGCAAAGAGTTCTGGGATTGCTAGATAATATATTACTCTTCCTTATTCTTCTGGATTGATTAACAATGAAAATAAAGTTTGTAACTACAACTGTGCAGTTTTTTCTCTTGTAGTTACTTAACTTGAAGCTTAGGTGTGTTTCCACAGGGACCTAGCCATGATTTGTGCTCCAGGACTGTAATTTCAACCTTGGTCCCTTCCAGAACAAAAGATTATCTCTATGTATTGACTGCCTGAAGGACTTAACAGTCAAACTGGATCTGGCAGTGGCCTTACTGTATTCTAATTTATGCACATGTACTTTCTTTGACAATTCTTATTTTGTTTCTTAAATACTTGTGTGATTAACAACTTTTTCAACGCATTGATTTTTATAGCCAGAGCTTCATCACCCAGTTTTTCCAGCTTCTGCCAGGATTGAAGATTGAGTATTACAGAGATGTTAATGAAAAATTATTCAGAAGACTAATATAGGTGTACTTAAGTCTTAGCTAAATAAGAAATAGTAAAATGTTTTGAAGTCTGGATTGACTCTAATAATATTAAAGAGTCACAGTCCTAATAATTTAGGAGTGTGAGCAGAAACCTGCTAGGTACAGGGACAGAGTATGCAGGGAATTCATAGCAGAAGGTATTTTTGTGGCTTTACCTGATTGCTTTTACTTAAACATTTCTGGGCTATTGATCTGAGGTCACAGAAAAAGGAATTTACTGCCAACAATTTTCATCTTCTGCATCCAGTTTCTGTGTCCCATAGCCCAGAATGCTTCACCCACTTTGTTTCTGTTACCTTTCACCTGACAGTTGTGCTGTAAGGAAAAGTAGTATATTGCTAACCATATATTGAGTCTTTTTGCATGTCTGTGAATGTGGCAAAGTTTAGTTGGGAATTAGTTGCCTGCTGGACTGCAGAGGCATCGTAAAAGTGTCTTCCCCATTCTGACTGGTTGCTGCATGTACCCATATCTAAGGAAGAAAAATTGAAAAGTTGAAAGAAGAAAGGAGATTTCAAGGTACATATTTCTTTCAATAACTGATAAACTTGCGAAATTATTTTTTTTAAACAAATAAATGTGTACTTTGCGCTTATGTTATTGTTACCTTCATATTTCTTATATCTCTTAATAATTAGCTTCAAGTTTTATGTTTCATTAAACTAAGAAGAAAAAGAAACATATTAATATAATAGTAATCATTAATGATTAATATTCAAATCATACTTTTAGAGTATACTTTTATATTAAACACTTTTCATACTGAAGTGTATATGGTACATATAAGTACTTATCAAAATGATTGGTACATATGAGTCTTCTTTGATAAATTTTCATCCTTAAAAAGATACTAGTATGGAATTTATTTATATAGCAAAAAATAATAAAAGTATGACTACACTTAACTTCCATGGCTCTAAATAAAGAATTCGTACCCATTCTCATCTCATGTTTGGTTCCCTTCCAGTATTGTTTTCTGACTATTAATTATATGCACTGCATAAACGACACTTTAAAAATCTTCAATTTCCCGCTGAAATTTTAGTCAACCCAATTTTTAATATCACAGTATTACACTAGGGACATAATAAAAGTCAGTAAACAAAACCACAAATAGAAACTGAAAGAAATTATGATTTATCCTGATTGCATTTTGGAATAGTTTTATGAACAATTGTAAGCAAGGTTGGCAAACCTTGTGGGTACAGTATCAACATTTATGGCTTTAGCAGTTTGGGCAATATAATATTATGTATTCTGCAGCCTAAAATGTTCTATAGCTCTTTCTAATATAATTCAGCAGCTTTTGCAGTTTGCTTCCTGGCGAACAAACGGACAATACATTCATTTTGCCAGAGCACCAGAGCCCCTCCTCAGTTTTGAACCCCCAGGGTAGCAAAAGTGTTGTACAAAACATTGATGTGTTCACTTCTTTCTCCTTCTCCTATTTGTTTGGTTTTTTTCATCTTTCTTCCTCAATTTCTTTCTCTTCCACCCAAAACACTGTGTTCATCTGAGTAGATAATCCAGTTTGATACAGAAAATATGGTACCGTGGCATATGTTTTCTTTTCTGAACCAGGAGTAGAAAGCATCTTGGATAATCCCACATGTTTTTCCAATGCCAGTCCTGGCAGAACCTCTCTGTAGACTTACATAGTGCAAAAAGTGAAGGAATTCCCGGGTTCAGATTTGATTTTTGCATTTGCTGTGACTGTGCTCTCACACCAGTGCCCACCTCCCTGCAGATACACTCATGAGTAAATCTGAAGTTTTGTTTGCTTTTAATTATAGAGATAGTAGAATTCACATCCTGACTAAAATATAGAAAAATCTTGTACACAATGCAACCGTGTAAGTACTTCCTCATTGTTTGTCTTTTTGCAAAACTTTGTTTGCAAAAATATAAATAAGCAGAACTTCTCATACTCAGATTTTTCTAAATTGTAAAGGCAAATCAAGCTTTTCATTGGATTAAACACAAAAATGTTGATATTTTTAATACAGTAGCAGAATATTATTTATTTAGGTATATTCCAACCTAGTGAATTACACTGGCTAGGGTCATACTTTAGAATATTTGCACATAGATTCATAACCAATTGGAATATTATACAATTGCACTTTTAATTTATTTTAATTTCGGCATATTATGGTGTAAGGAATTATTAAGTTATTCGCCTGGAATTAAAAAGCAAACCATATGCCAGTGTTCTTTCCTTAACAGAAAGCAGATCTTCCATGGGACTCGGACTGGTTACAATTTCAAAGCAGGGGGCTGGCCTTCATTTGACTGGAACAGCCTGTTTCAATGACTCTTAATACCTTCTGATGGGGGCATTGGAGAAACTACATTGTGTATGAGTATTAAATACTCAATTCCATGTTCAACCTTTCAAATATAGGGTCTTTCCAAAATGAACTCTCTTCAGTAATGTCTCTATAATCTGCTTGTGTTCATAGTGTTATAAACATTTTCACTTTGCTGCTGGATTTTTGAAATTTTGGAGTACAGTCTTTTTAAATATTAGTGGCCTGTATTGTTTGCATCACCAGTGAGCACAGATCAATGACAGACATTTATCCTCATGCCTTGTACACAGCAGTAAATAAAACATCAAGCCTGATACAGTCACATTTAGAGGTTTTGCTTTTGTGTCCTTTGAGCATGAAGATTCTCACACATGTAAATGAGAGATATTCCTACCACTTTTTTTCCAGTGTATATGCAGAATGAAAATATCTCTGGTATGCTTTTTCTGTAAGTATATGCATATTAGAGGTGGCCTTCTTTTAGAATTTAATTACTTAGTATTTTCCAAAAAAACAAACAAAACAAAAAAACAAAAACCAAGCAAAAAAAGATTATGAGATGAGGAGAAACAACTTGATGGAAAATGGGTGTAATGGTTTTCTAGCAATAGTTGCTCAACAAGGCTTTTGTTGGCTAACTATATGATGTGTGGCTTTGTACATCCTACATAATATATAGATATATGGTTTCTCTGGGTGTTCAAAGGTATTAATTAGGGAAAAATGCATTATTGGAAGAAATAAGATATTAAGTTTTAGGAATTAGAGGATTAAATTAATTTGCTGACAATATATTCAGCCTGGTGTTCTAGAAATTGTAAAATGTAATTTCGTTTCTTTAATATTTTTTATGTTTCTTTATATTTCCCATAAGCTGTGAATCTAAATAAAAACCCCAAGCCACTTCCTTTTTTTGTACCCTATATGCAAATCAAGTCATATGTTCTGTTTAAGACAAGGTAAATAATTGCACCCAAAAGTGCAGCTGGCAATAGTGGGTTTCAATTAAAAATGCTTTGGAGCTGCTACTGAAATCTTCATCTTGAAACTGAAGTGCAGGGTAAAGGATTCTGAAAAGAGCCCAACTATATCTATTTCATGAAATACAAGCCTACCACAACTGCAAATTTTTTTGAGGATGCTGATGGTGCTGCAGCTGTTCCACTGACAAAGGAAAGACCACATTACTTTGCTACAGAGATCTCTACTGGCCTTTCTTTCCTTTTTCTGTTGTCCTCCAAGTCACCATCATCATCAGAACATTATCAATCATGGAGTAGGGCAGGGAGATGGATCTGATAAGAAATGAAAAAGAATAAGCATGCTCTCAACTCCTCAATTACAGCTACTGTAAGCTAAATTGTTGCTTTAACTGTAATACAGTAAATATTTTAGCAATTTTAAGAGCAACTTATTATTGATAAAATACTGATCACTATCAGGATATGGACTTTGCTTTTCTTCTTAGGCTATTTTCATTTGTTTCTTCTGCACCCTTTTAATGGAATATGTAGGTCTCTTGAAAGGTAAGGTTGAAAATTGCAAGTCTGGCCTGCATTATGTAACAAATTATTTGAAATGCAGCACTTTTATTTTCTTTATACTAGTAAAGAAAATCAGTATATTTCATTTAACTAAATTCATTCTTCATTCATTTTCAAGGAGTCAAAGAAATTAAGAAGTTTAACAGACTAACTTCACAGCATATCATAAGCTTGTTACTTTGGAGAACAAACAAATTATTTTTTTTATAACTTTACAACCCACTGCTTAATGCTTGCAGTTGCATCTACGTGGCCTCCAAGCCAAGGGCCCAGGTCTTACCACTGAAAAGTCATGCACGATGGGAAAAAAAAATAAAAGAAACCACAACTCCCCCTCCCTCCACTGAAGACATTTGCTTTTTAAACCATTCTTACACCATGTTTTCATTTGAACTGCATCATATTGATTTGTCTCTACAATGTGATGTGGGTTTACTAAAGGATTATAGGACTGCACACATGCTTTTCATAAACTCTGCATGCGTGGCTGATTTTGTCTTAATAGTACATCAGTTAATCCCATGTTTGTTTGTTTGTGTCTCCAGCGATGCAGAGGACCATAAACCTCTAAAAAAAGGAAGCCGGACACCTTCAGACAGAACTGTGAAAAAAGAAGACAGTGATGATAGTTTAGTTGACTATGGAGAAGGTGTAAATGGTCAGTTCAATGAGGATGGCTCCTTTATTGGACAATATAGTGGTAAAAAAGAGAAAGAACCTGCAGAAGGAAATGAAAGCTCTGAGGCCCCTTCTCCTGTAAATGCCATGAATTCATTTGTGTAACCACAGAACTTGATCCCCTTGTATCTTCAGTTTGCTTAAAGCACTTGTACATCTTCCTTCTCATGTTATGAACACACAGGTAACGGAGCTCCTCACCACCAGATGTTAATGCTATGAGAATATGCAGGTTACCAGTACACAGCATAATGACACAGTAAGTGGTATGTTACTATGAATCAAAATAGAAAATTCAAATTTTGTTCAAAACTTGGGTATTTTTACTTTTTTTTTTAAAGGAACTGACACAAACAGTAACATCAACTTGTAATTTTGTTTCCTGTTGAAAATACAGTAATAATGCATGGAAAAACAAAACCCCTACACAACTTACAGATGATCTTGTGTACACTATAAAAACATGGTTTGACAATTTGTTATGCAGTCCTCAGCTGAATCCCTGGATATGAATTCCGTTCTCATTGTCAGAGTGTTATAGTAGTATTATATAGAACTTCAATGTCTTTGTGGACATTGTTGTGAAATTGGTGACTTAATGTCTAGCTATCATATGTCTTTTTGCAAGACAGTTAGGAACAGTATGTACAGTATATAATTGCTAAATGATTTAAGTAAGACACTTGCATTTGCTGATGCTTAATGAGACCATATTATCTGCTCTTTGCTCCTATTACTTTACAGCCTTTTTAATCTATCAAGTATTACAGCAGTACAGTGTTCTATTTTTACATCAAAACACAGTGAATTGATTTTAGGGCATAAAAGATACACATTCCAATGCATCTTGGAATTTGTACAGTCACTGTAAGAAAAACTTTAAAAATGAGGGAAAATATTCCGGAAAACACAGGGCAAAGTACATTCAGTGCCTTTATACGATATGCATTCCGTAATGCGCTGTAC